AAAAACTTCAGCTACAGGTGCGGAGCTATCACTTTTAGCGAATAGCCGTGATTCAACTGACATTTCCAGAACCATGTTGACCATAATCAACCAATAGGATAGGTGACAGATGCAATGTTGACAACATAAATTAACCAATAGGATAGAGAATTTCGCCCGCTGCGGTCAAAGCCTTCTACTTCATCTACAAGAGTTTTTAGAAATCATACTTTAGAGAGCTGAGCATACATACTGAGCTTTAAATCTCATGCTGCCATCGCCTTTTTATCTCCGGTATACATGTAAACACCCTGTATAATGATTATATCCTGCAGTATCATGTAATGACATCCTTCCATCGCACTGCCAGGAATGGAATTCCCTGTCAGACTCTGCATTCTTGAAATTCTGACTGTAACGGTAATATGAAAATAAGTTCTATTTGGGCACAAGAACCACGCCCTCCCGAACAGGGATTTTCTTAGGTATTGTTAATTGTGAAAAATATAAAACGTTAAAATAACGGTATCGTTATAGCCAATGAGCTGCTGTCATAGTGACATTGTCGTAATGTCATTGTCACACGAGAATCAAACGTCAGAATAGCGGGACGCGCGAAGACGACTCCGCGCGCTTTTGTGCTAAGCGATGAAATGTATTTAAAATAAGGCAATATAATGTGAAAGTTGAGTATTCAGTGTTTTATTTAAGGGAATAGATCGACCGGCTTCTAATAGTGTGAATGATCAAGGATTAAAAGTTATAACCCACTATTTATCCACAGAAAAAAGTACCAACTCGAGACATGCCTAGCGGGGGCCGCTGCGGAGCGCCTCTCAACCGCTCGGAGTTCCTCCGACGAGACCGGTGGCAGTTCCGCCGACTCGGAGGGCGCGGGCCCCGGCGGCGCCCCGCCCGCGCCCGCGCCGCCGCTGCCGGGGCCCCGGACGGACGCCGCCGCGCCCCGGAGGCCGAGGAGGGATGAGTACGACTCGTCGGCGACGGAAACTGCCGATGAGGAGAACGATGCGCCTAGCGCTAAGGTTGGTGCAAACTCCTATTTGACAACATACCAAACTAGGGCTTGCAATATCGGATAGTTTTCAACACCGGAACTGATTTCCGATATTGGGCACTCAACTCCGGAATTCCGGTTCTAGTTCCGGAATTGGTTAAAAAAAGAAAGCGCCTCCAGACAAACACGTACACGTAATATGTGGCCTCCACTTCAGAACCTTGCTGTTCTACGTACTATGTGTCCTTTCCGTTGCCACTTTAGCTTGCTAATCCGATCGCTATAATATTATGTCAGGCGACTTTAGTTCGTTTACGAATCTCCTGATTTCTGGTTCGATCTCGAAAAGAAACACCGAGCATAGCACTCTCCATACCATGGTGTGCAATTTTGCAGCTTATTATCCAAACTGAGCACCTAAGTAGGTATTGCAACAAATTCAAATACACTCGACATCAAATAAATCGCACCGCCTGCGACAAGCAGTTTCGAACGTATGCATACCCACTTTCCACCAATATTGAAACCATTATTTTATCATTTGAAAGCTTAGTTCTAAACTTTATTTCATTAAAAGAAAGGTTTTGTGAAAAATGTGTCCTTAAAATGATCCAGTCTTTTCTTAAAGAAACAGTTACGCTTGAACCAACTTTTATGGCTATAAAACTGGTAAATTGGGATTAATCGCTATCCATTTGTTAAAGAGGACACGTGAGATCATTATTTGGTTTTTTAATCACAAAAATTGGTCTAATTGGTCCCAGAGGTGAGCTCCAAGTGAGGCCTTTTTTCAAGTCACATTTATGGTACCTGTTAATTGTTTATAAAAAAATTAAATGTGTTTTTCTTTAAGGATATTTATTGGGCTTTCAAATAACACCAATATTGTTGGGGCACCATGATTGTGTCAGAAGGAAATCTTTAAAGTTCGCGTCGTGGAAGGTGCGGTTTATTTGATGTTGAGTATGTTTCTAACAAACATCTTTTCCCCACAGATCCTCCCTCCCACATCTCTACCCCCAGTATCATCGGCGCCCCCATCCACGCCTTGCAGCGTGGCCCCCGCCGCTACGGGGCCCACGGGGCCCACGGGGCCCAACGGGGGCGCCGGGGCGCTGCGCAACGGGCCCCACGCCGCGCCGCTAACGGTGCGAGACGTGGTGCTGAATATGATCGAGATTAGCTTGACGAAGAACAAACAACCGGCGCCCGCGCAGAAACCTAACCAGTTGAAAGTGAGTGGATTTTTCAGAAATATTGACATTTATTTGTAACATCTTTCTACTGTAGTACACTGATGTCACTGATGACCACTGCTGCGAGACTACTCTGAACATTTTTCAACTACTTCCATAAACATTATTCGAAGTTTCTAATGATTCTATCACTTTCACGCAAAGCGAAATGCCATGATGAGCAACTGTGATAGATAATAAATAATAATAATAAATATCCTTAGACATTTTACACTGCGCTTCTAGTCCCAAACTAAGCAAAGCTTGTGCTATGGGTACTAGACAACGGATATAAACATACTTAAATACTTTTTTTTTTGTAAATACATACTTATTATACATAGAAAACACCCAGTCCAATACAAACAAATATGTTCATGCACACAAATGTTTGTACTGTGCGGGAATCGAACCCGCTACCTCTGGAATAGTAGTCCGTTTCGAACCACTACACCAAACGGCCGACAAGATAAACCTGAAAGTTGAAACTATGCAAACTGCGTTAGGGAATAGCTCTGCTGGATGGAAAATTTCCTGTTCTCTAACTTTTGCCCCCCTTTTTCTGTGCTAGCAATATTCTTGTAGCCTTGTACTATGTTTATTGAAAATGACAAAGGAAAATGAAAATGATATTTATTTAGTCAATATTACAGTACATGATCTGGTTACTGTTACATTCAGAATAAAAACGGATTACAATTTATACAGTAAGTATGTACTAACAGCATCACTGGACTCCACACTAGGATTCCCTGTGTCGTGGAGACCAGTCTTCCCGTTGAAATTTCGAGATAAAGTGCGTGCATAACTTTGTATGTATTTTGAAAATTTTAACTGTTGAAAAAAATTGAACTGCCTAAGGCAGGAATTGAACCCACCTATTACACTGGTATTTTGCCTCAAACCACTGAGCAATTGTCGCCATCCTTCAAACCCTATTCTCCTTCCAGGTCAGCTCAACGACCGGCGGTCGGGAAACATTAGCTACCCTCAGCGTAGTGAACAGTTCTCACCAGCGCACGTCACCGCGGTCACCTCACAGACCTGCCACCATCACGCCGCTGGCCCAGCCGCAGCAGCAGCAGTCACAGCAACAGCAGCAGTCGCAGCAACAGCAACAGCAGCAGCAACAGCAGCAGAAGGTATGTGACTTATATTGTGGCCACTGTGTAAATGGCAACGCAGTGTAGTGAATAAGTCTCACAGCGGCCCGCCACCATTACGCCGCTAGCACAGCCGCAGCAGTCGCAGCAGCAGCCGCAGCAACAGCAGCAACAGTCGCAGCAACAGCAGCAGAAGGTATGTGACTTATATTGTGGCCACTGTGTAAATGGCAACGCAGCGCAGTGAACAAGTCTCACAGCGGCCCGCCACCATCACGCCGCTAGCCCAGCCGCAGCAGTCGCAGCAGCAGCAGCAGTCGCAGCAGCAGCAGCAGTCGCAGCAACAGCAACAACAGCAACAGCAGCAAAAGGTACGTGACATATACATATACGCTATTTTCCGTGTAAATGGCAACGCAGTCACTGTGTAAATGGCAACGCGGCGTAGTGAACAGATCTCACAGCGCGAGCGGCCTGCCAGCATCAAAACGTTATCTCAGCAGCAGCAGCAGCCGCAGCTACAGCCGTAGCAACAGCAGCAACAAAAAGTATGTGACATATGTATATTGTGACCACTGTGTAAATGGCAACGCAGCGTAGTGAACAGTTCCCACCAGCGCACGTCGCCGTGCTCGCCGCACAGACCTGCCACCATCACGCCGCTGGCACAGCCGCAACAGTCGCAGCAGCAGCAGCAGCAGTCGCAGCAAAGCAACCACAGCAGCAACAGCAGCAGAAGGTATGCGACTGTTCGTTTCAGCCAAATCTTCCACTGCTGGACAAAGGCCTCCCCCAACGACCGGTACTGCGCCGCCTACATCCAGGCACCTCCTGCGACCTTCCTGACAGCCGCTCACAGACCGCCTCGTTACAACGGCCCGCCACCATCACGCCGCTGGCCCAGCCGCAGCAGCAGCAGCAGCAGCAGCAGAAGGTATGTGACTTATATTGTGGCCACTGTGTAAATGGCAACGCAGCGTAGTGAACAGTTCCTACCAGCGCACGTCACCGCGGTCGCCTCACAGGCCTGCTACCATCACGCCGCTGGCGCAGCCGCAGCAGTCGCAGCAGCAGCCGCAGCAGCAGTCGCAGCAACAGCAGCAGCAACAGCAGCAGAAGGTATGCGACTGTTCGTTTCTGCCAAGTGTCGTCCATTGCTGGACAGAAGCACATTTTCTGGTCCTGCGCTGCCCGCATCCAATCACCTGCCGCGACCTTCACCAGATGTCCACATAGTGGGGGGCCTGTCCACGCTACGTCTTCCGGCCCTGGTGTGGCCACTCGAGAACTTTTCTGCTCCATCGCGGGTCTTTTATTTTGAACTTTGGCGCCCTTTATCTCTTTAGTTTGAAAAAGTGATAAATACGTGTCGAGTATTTTTTGATAAGTTTACTGACGGACTAATACAAACTCTGGTTATGATACATCCCTATTAGAATACTGATCTAAAGTCCGGTCGCCGATCACGTAGAATTTCGTCCAATGACGCCAAGCTACCCATCCTTATCGTTCGCGCGTAATTATATTGCTGTCGCGCTCGCACACTCACTGCGGCCGCCCATCGCACAGTCGCAAATTCTACGTGCACGGCGACCGGACTTTATCTAGGCTTTTTGTAACAACCTCCGTATTTTATTGCCAGGACGGAGTGGTGGTGCTACACATAGAGCCGCGAGCGGAGCCGCTGCTAGACTTAAGCGTCAAGCGGCCGCGACACGAATTGGCCTTCCCTCACCCCAATAAGCCTGTAAGTATCATATTTTACTGTCAGAAATCTGAGTTTTTGTAATTTATGGCCAGTGCGCCACTGTCCAGTGCCGGTCAAACAAAAAAAAAAACAGGATGTTCAAATTTTATGGCCAATAGGCTTCTGTCTAGTGTCGGGAAAAATCTGGATGTTCAAATATTTTGTCCGTACTCTATGGCCAATGAATCGCTGCTCAGTGTCGGTCAAAATTTAAGTCAATGTTTTTGTAAATATGGCCAATGGACTGCTGTCCAATGTCAGGTTCAAGAGTAGCTAACGTCGCGCGCGTGTATTTAGACCTTAATATCTTTTAACAAGTTTCAATACCATTTGAGAAAATTATTACATTTTGTGCTCTATTAATAGCGGTTAGAATTGACGATCGTATAAAAAAAATATTAACGGCAGTATTTTTACAATAGGGCTAGGCCCGTATGGGCGTTAGGATCTTTATGCGATGGGCTATTCTATTCTTACAATAAAAAAAATAGGTTGTTTCTTTATTGTGTTGATAATTAATAATGTATTTTTCTTTCTGACTTTGCAAATTATGATTTGATCGAAACGTTATTAAAGGACAGAAAGAAGAAATTTAGCAAACGTCTTCTAACGAATTGCCATGAGCACATGTTATAACTAGTCTACTGTGCGACCTACATCGATTTCACTCAATAAAAAAACCTCTTCAACAAGTTGCGATTATAGAAACAAAACCAATAGACTTTCATTATAGTCTTATAGGCTATAGGCCAATAGGCTTTTACTGACTGAGCGTTTACGTTTCAGCCGTACCGCAACTCAAATGAGTACCAACCCGCGTACCGCCAAGCGGAGCGGGAATCGCCCACGCCATACAACAGCTCGGCCAAGGGCTCTCCCGCGCCCGCGCGGCCCGCGGCCAAGACCGCCGCCAACCCCAAGGTACTACTATACCAACACTTGTAGGGCAGCAGTACCTGTTTTGGCTATCCCTATTTTGTATATAGCCTGACCAGGAACATAAAAACCCTAGCATAGAGGCGCGTCAATTGCATTTGATAGTGCAACACTGAGTACAGTCGTACACTTTGTGTGTCACCGAACTATTTGACGCTGACTGTATAAACCCACCGCCAACCCTAGGGCAGCAGTACCTTCTTCTTTAGGCTGTGGTCTCTTATAAACGCTGTAGGCCACGTAGTATGAGCCACACTTCCAGCTACCATAATCATTTTTGCAATTAAACATGGTATACAAAGATGTTAGGTACAGACAGTGAGAACGATACTTAGCTAAAATTAGATAGCATGCAAAAATCAAGTAGAAATAGAATGATAATTTAGCGATGATTCTAAAAAGAACAGAACTACAGCAAGTCAAAGAACTCTTTTAAACCATAAAGAGTCAGTGATAGCAGCCCTTTACTCCAGGGGTCTTCAAACTACGGACTTCGGGCCATATCCGGCCCGCGACAGCTTAAAACTAAGCTCATGTTTGTATAGATGGGCAGAAAAATTAAAATGATTAAGGCCTCTGCAACATACCGAAATAATTATTATGACAAAGCTTCAAAGTCTGGAGACCTCTGCTTTACTCAAGTGTTTCTTCAAATTACAAATACTTAATGTCCTAAATTCTTTGGGTATGTCATCTCGTTCTATCGCAAGGAATCGCTATTTGTGAGAGCGAGAGTAAAATCGGAACTGTGGTCCACTGTGATCGCCCGCGCCATACAACAGCTCGGCCAAGGGCTCGCCCGCGCCCGCGCGGCCCACGGCCAACCCCAAGGTACTACTATACCAACACTTGTAGGGCAGCAGTACCTGTTTTGGCTATCCGTATTCTGTATACCATGTTTGGCCACTTTTTAAAACTCACAAAACTCATTTATTTTTGCAAATAGGCTTTTCATCTTTTACACGTCCCAGTATTAACTCTACCACTACTTCGGGACAGTAAATGGGCCAGTGCTGAGAAGAGGCAGTGCAAGAAATTCAATCACTATTAAAAAAACTTTATGTATATGTTTCTTTATATTAATCTCCAGATTTAATTTTACAGTTTTTTTGATAGTAAATCAAAATTAAGTGGTCAAAAAAGGTACAGTGACCACAAAAGGGGGTCTTTGCCCTACCACTAGATAGGCAATATTAACAAATTACGTTACACAATTTAGGTTACATGCGACGGGACTAAGATAGTTTGACGAATTATTTATTTAACGTATTGTTATTTTTTTATTACGGACTGTTAAAGTCATGCCATAACATGAATGGAACACAGGATAGGGTTTAGGATAAAGGAACAAGACGACGTATGAAAGAATGAAATAAAACTTAGGCTGAATATACCTCTACAAAAGTGAAATAAGAAATAGATAGAACACACTTTGTTGTACATCACACAAAACAAGAAAGGAAAGAAATACACAAAAGATACGGCACATTTTAGGAAGTCATATACCTAGCTATAAAATTTCTAGCTCAAATATCAAACACAATCTTGAGTCAATTTGAGGGTTCTCGCGATTGAAAAATCCGCCAGATGGCAATACGTAGGCGCGAGGTCCAAATGCTGCATGATTGGTTATTTTTGACATGATATTGACAGATATGTCAAAATCCACCAATCACGCAGCATTTGGACCTCGCGTCTACGTATTTCCATCTGGCGGATTTTTTTATCGCGAAAACTCTCATTCATGACACAATCCTAAAAGATGACTTTATTTTATTTAGGTATACCATCAACATGACTTACAATTAGATCAAAATTGACCAAAACTATTTTTCTCTATTAATCTAAATATATAAAAGGGGAAATCATCTATATTAAATACTATTTTCTTGTACCCCAGGGTTCAATAACTCTCGGCACGCCGGTCGAAACCCGCTTCGAGCCGCGCCGGACGCCGCCGGAACCTAAAGGCGGCTCCATCACCGCCGGAACGCCGGTGCACCACGACAAGCGGGGCTTCGAGTTCTACAAGCGACGGAGCCCGAGCGGGCCCTACTACGGAGCGCCGCAGCAACCGAGGCCTCATTCACCATCGTTTTCGCAAGTGAGTTACTCATTAACTACAACTTGACTTATACCACAGAATAAGTAAACTCATCAAAAACAATACTTGTCAAAAAACCAAGTCTCGCAACTCAGTTGTTCTACGGTAAAAAGTTGTGAGATCCATGTAATACCAAGTCCAGGCCAGGAAATCTTTAACGTTTTACATAAATTATTGACTTGGCCAACGCACTAAATAATTTAATTTACACGTGTTTTCATGCGATGGCCAAGTCAATATATTTAAATATAAATATACGTGCTAAAAACCTTGTTTAGTAGGAGTAATCAGAGAGCCCCTAATGTATTTTTAAAGTAATACATAATTTATGTTACTTTTTGGTTCATATTAACGTTTTTATTGTTATGCCTATCCAAAAGTATCTCAAAAACGTGTACTTTTCACAGAACGCAACGGCAGCCGGCTACTCCCGGAGTCCATACGGGCTCGAACAACGCCAAATCATCATGGCGGACTTCATTACCTCGCAGCAGATGCACGGCGGCGCGCGCCGTGACCGGGACCCACCGCGGGACCCTCCTCGGGACCCACGGGACCCTAGAGACCCACGGGACCCTAGAGATCCGAGGGACCCTAGAGATCCTAGAGACCCTAGGGACCCTCGGGACCCAAGGGACCCTAGGGACCCTAGAGACCACAGGGCGCCATCGCCGCAATACTCGCCAAGGAGGGAAAGAGAGGGACCAGTGTCGGTCATTCAGAGGCACTCCTATCATCCGCATCCTCATCCGCATCCTCCTCCAGGTATGATATTTCACTTTACTACATGAATTTGATAATTTCTTAAGTGTTTTTACAAAGCTTCTTGGCAAGCGATTTTTGTATTCGAGAAAAGACATAATGTACGCTCAGTGCCATAAAAATGCGCAAAGTGCATTGCATAAATCTATATTGGTAAATTCTTAAACCTATATTTCTTTAGTTAGAAGATAACAGTAAATTATTTTGACAGATCGTAAAAAGTAGGTCAATGAGGACTACTGTATTTGCGAGCGCTAACTGGTGAACGCGAATACGGTAACCCTCATTGATTGGTGTGAACATAGTGTTGCCAGGTACAAATTCGATACGCAGGATTTCAAATCAGGCCAACTAAAAGAAAGAATAGACTAGGTTATTATGGATCCTAGCAACCGGTTGCTAATTCTACAATTATTGTAACGCGACTGACAAAATTAAATGTATGGGATCTAGCGCCACCTACAAAAAAATTGACAGTGATGATGTCATTGGTTGGCAGTGCAGTCGGGTATCGTAAAATTGGGTATTTGACACCATTCCCCATCAATCTAAAGCACACATTTTATAAAAATCCACTTATCTGGTCTTAAAAACTCTATTAATTTTAAATTACCTGTAAATTTAAATTTTTGGTTGCATAGTAATTAAAGAAAGTAGTTTAATTGGTAGATAAAATAGTGACGTCACATGCTATTATTGCCGTATAAAATCTTTGCGAGTTTCGTTTTGACAGTTTTAAAAAGTACTTCAATGAGGGGGGCTATCGTTTTAGCGCCTACCAGTTAGCGCCACTGTAGAGTAAGGTCCTGTCACTTGCTAGTAGCGAAGACAGTGGCACCAACTGGTGAGCGCGAAAGTGGTAGGAGGACTATCGCATTTGCACTCATCAAGATGGCGCCACTGTAGAGTAAGGTCCTGTCAATCGCCAGGGGAGCCAACAGTTAAGTATAAAAACGATAGCCCTCATTGATTGGTGGTGTCAAATATACTATTAGCAACCGGTTGCTAAGATTTGTAATATAGTTCCAAAATACTGGACTGTCCTGTCGATGACATTGACAGTGGGGCGCCACCGTCAATACCGGATCGCTGGTTCAGATTTTTGCCATGTTGGAAACCATATAGTTGAACGATGGTAGCGCCCCCCTGTCATTGAGTTTGGTGGGACAGTTCAGCGTGGGTCATCTATAATGCCGGTGAAGAGTTGAGATTTGAAATGAGAAGTTCCGAATTCGGGTCGCCTAGCAACGCTAAGCTCACGTTAGCCCCGGAGCGCGAGCCCTTGTAACATGCCGTGTTGTACGCAGGTCACGAAGCTTTCAATTCGCTTGTAGACGTGGCGTCGGCAGCCAGCGCCCTGCCCGTGCCGCGGCCCGAGCCCAAGCCCGAGCCCAAGCACCTGCCGCTCGTGTCCCACCACCATGACGTCAGGTATGTAGACCCATAACCCCCCATAAACTTAACTAAGCCCCCCTCTCCCACATGCATGTAGATCCCCCCTTTTCTCGTTCCCCCACATCCCACAAGCTAGCTAGACCAATACTATGACGTCAGATATGTAGCCTCCATAAGTCCCCATAAACTAGCAAGGACTCCACGATGACTATGTAGCTTCCCCATTCTCACACAACTCCAAGTAGCTAGGCCATTGCTGCCCGACCATGACGTCAGTACATACATATCCCCACCCTCCATATCAGGTAGGCCACCATACTGACTATGTAAGTTTCCATCTCCCCACACACTCAAGCTAGCTAGGCCTCCACAACGTCTATATAGCCCCCCCCATTCCCTTCCCACCTTTTTGAAATAGCTAGGCTGCCACCAAGACATCAGTTATGTAGATCCCCACTTCCCTCGTTCCCTGACATTCCACAAGCTAGCTAACCTGACCCCAAGCATCTGCCGCTCGTCTCCCACCACCATGACGTCAGGTATGTAGCCCCCTAACCCCCCATAAACTGACTAAGCCCCCCTCTCCCACATGTATGTAGATCCCCCCTTTNAATGAAAATATTGTCCGAACCCTTAGTATTTCTCTTCGACAAACATTTTAACACATTGCGAACCACTTTTCTTTCAAGACTATAAAAAGATTTTAGCATTTTAATTCACAAAATCAATTGCGCACATTTAAAATAAAGTTTGTTTACACTTTGACAGCAATAGACTGACATGCAAGGTGACATGTCAATGAAGTTTTCAGTTACTGTTGCCATTAAAAGAAATTAGTACCATTAGTTTTCCGCAACATGGCGAGGTTTTTTATGTTCCTGGTCAGGCTATACATAAATTATATTATTGACTTGGCCATCGCACTAAATAATTTAATTTACACGTGTTTTCATGCGATGGCCAAGTCAATATATTTAAATATAAATACGTGCTAAAAACCTTGTTTAGTAGGAGTAATCAGAGAGCCCCTAATGTATTTTTAAAGTAATACATAATTTATGTTACTTTTTGGTTCATATTAACGTTTTTATTGTTATGCCTATCCAAAAGTATCTCAAAAACGTGTACTTTTCACAGAACGCAACGGCAGCCGGCTACTCCCGGAGTCCATACGGGCTCGAACAACGCCAAATCATCATGGCGGACTTCATAACCTCGCAGCAGATGCACGGCGGCGCGCGCCGTGACCGGGACCCACCGCGGGACCCTCCTCGGGACCCACGGGACCCTAGAGACCCGAGAGACCCTAGAGACCCTAGAGATCCTAGGGACCCTAGGGACCCTCGGGACCCAAGGGATCCTAGGGACCCTAGAGACCACAGGGCGCCATCGCCGCAATACTCGCCAAGGAGGGAAAGAGAGGGACCAGTGTCGGTCATTCAGAGGCACTCCTATCATCCGCATCCTCATCCGCATCCTCCTCCAGGTATGATATTTCACTTTACTACATGAATTTGATAATTTCTTAAGTGTTTTTACAAAGCTTCTTGGCAAGCGATATTTGTATTGAAGAAAAGACATAATGTACGCTTAGTGCCATAAAAATGCGCAAAGTGCATTGTATAAACCTAAACGAGTATTAGTAAACTCATAAACCAATTTTTTTTTGTTTATTTTATGTAGACAGATCGTGAAAGTATGTCAATGAGGACTACTGCATTTGCGCTCTGAGAGCGCAAATATGGTAGCCCTCATTGATTGGCGGTGTGAACATAGTGTTGCCAGGTCCAGTGTTACAAAAAATATAAATTTTGGGTTTCTACAACTTTGGGTACTGTCACAAGGTTTAGAATGGGATAGGGTTTGTAGAAGTTGAGATTATCGTTGAGATAGTGTGGGTGGGTGACAAAAGTCCACAAGATTAATAAAAAAGTCGCCTTTGTTCACCTGTGTGAATCAATACAAAGATGGGTGAAGCACCAAAAACTCCACTTTGTTCACCCATGTGATATCTCTTTTGAATAAACCAAAGCAAAAAGTAAACTAAGTGAAAAATGGGACAATTTGGCGTTCTAATGATATCAAGACTGCTGCCGACAAACTGTGTCACAGTTTGGCAGAATTAGTTAATGTATACTGTGTGACATGAAAAAAAAAGAAATAAGTCATGAGACCGTAAAAACCTGGCCCCCTAAAGCCCGGTCCGTGACCACGTAGAATTTGGCCAATGACCCCTAGCTACCCATCCTTACCGCTCGCGCGTAATTATATTGCTGTCGCGACTGTGCAACTGGCACCTGCAGTGAGTGTGCGAGCGCTATAGCAACATAATTACGCGCGAGCGATAAGGATGGGTAGCTTGGGGTTATCATCATCATCATCATCATCAACAGCCCTTTACAGTCCACTGCTGGACTATGAGCCTCCTCCACTATAGTGGAGGGTTTTGCCATAATCTCCACACTTGGCAGGCGGGTTGGAGATCGCAGTCTATAAGATTGATGTTTGTCAGAGAGCGCTGCTGCCCGTTCTCTGTTTGATGTGTAGTCCCTAAGTCGCCTCTTACGACACCCGCGGGAAGAGTAGGGTTTGGTGACAAATGTATTCTACTCGCTTGGGGTCATTGGACAAAATTCTACGTGCTCACGGACCAGACTATAGCAACGCTAAGCTCACGATCGCGAGCGCGAGCCCTTGTAACATGCCGTGTTGTACGCAGGTCACGAAGCTTTCAATTCGCTTGTAGACGTGGCGTCGGCAGCCAGCGCCCTGCCCGTGCCGCGGCCCGAGCCCAAGCCCGAGCCCAAGCACCTGCCGCTCGTCTCGCACCACCATGACGTCAGGTATGTAGCCCCATAAGTCCCATAAACTAGCTAGGCTCCCCTTCCCTCGTTTTCGACCTCCCTACAAGCTAGCTAGGCCTCCACACGTCTATGTAGCCCCCCATTCCCTTCCCACCTTTTTGAAATAGCTAGGCCACCACCAGTACATCAGTTATGTAGATCCCCTTTTCCCTCGTTCCCCTCCCTTAGACTCTCTCGAATCTTAAGTTCTGTGTTCGATTTCAAGAAGACATCGTCAGAAATATTTTTTGATTTCTTTTTTAACTACAACGGGAAACTCTTGGTCAGTGAGACACTGCAAATTGTTTTTTACTTTGTAAAGTAACTGAGTCTCCTGCTAAAAATCAGTGTTCTATTATTCATCTAATATTATACAGAGTGGATGTTCTTTCTTGGCATTAAATCTATGAAAAATTCTATTGAATCTACACAGAAAACAGTATATGAAGAACAACGTTAAAAGAAAAACAATAAAAACTCATGAATCGTCATTCTTTACAGACTTCAAGACAGAATGCAGAGGGACATGGCGATAGCACAGAAGTACCATCAACAGCATTTACAATACCAGGTACATGTACGTTGGAAACTTCATTCACAATATTATTGGCACTAATTGTATATTTATAATCGTCAAAGAAACTGTTTTAACAACGTCAAGTTCTAAGTGTCTTATTTACGTCTACATTATTGAAAATTGAACCATATTATTCATGAAGTAACCTCTTTACAGGTGTTAGAACGAGACAGAAGAGCGCAGCAGGCGCAATTCCTAGAAAGAGACAGACAAATTGCGATACAACAAAATAGAGAACGGTAAGATAGATTAACTTAAATAACATTTTATTTCTTGTTTACAAACCACGACTGAAAAATCAGATGAACGGCAGTTTTATTCATAGAATCATTCATCATGTTGTATTACATCTTTAGTAAGTTGTCCGTCATTACATACAGAAAAAAAACAACAAATTAGACTACTCCAATTTTGAGTTCGTAAAGTTATGTTGAAGACTAGTTTTTAGACGCGTTGCGAAACACGGACCAGTTCAAGCATAGACAAAAACCACAAAAGTCTGACTGTACTAAGTTGTCTCTATTTCAACCATAGACAAGTACAATCATATCAATTCACTGAGTCCTAAATGCAAATAACTAATTATAGTAATAGAATCTCCAAATCTACTTATATATATAAAAGAAAGTCGTGTTAGTTACACCACAGTCTTATAACTCAAGAACGGCTGAACCGATTTAGCTGAAAATTGTCAGGGAGGTAGTTTAGAGCCAGGAGAAGGACATTGGATACTTTTTATCCCGTTCGAAATAAAAAAAAAGTCTGCTTATTTATTGCCATTAAGGCGGAACAAAGTTCGCCGGGTCAGCTAGTTGCATCTAAATGAATTCTCTAAATCTCCATACAGCGAGCGCGCAATGGCGGCGATGCAAGAGCGACACATGTCCATGGATCAACAGCATCAGCAACATCAACAGCAGCATCAGCAGCATCAACAGCAACAACAACACCAGCACCAGCAGCACCAGCAACAACATCAGCAGCATCAGCAACAGATGCACGAGCGTCATCATTTGCAACACCAACAGGTATAAGATTTTAAACTTTCGCGTTCCATTTCAATGAGGGTTTTCGCGAATGAAAGATCCGCCAGATGGCAATACGTAGACGCGAGGTCCAAATGCTGCATGATTGGTTATTTTTGACATGACATTGACAGATATCTCAAAATCCACCAATCACGCAGCAGTTACCCCACATCCACGTCCCGCCTTCTAGCGGTTCTTTCATTCGCGAAAACCCTCATTAAAATAGTAAAACAAATAAACGTCAAGCCGTGAGTACATAATGTAACTCATTAATAAACGTTGCGTTAAGACCCGTGTCTTACTATTTTAACCAACAGGTATGTTCGTCATAATGTCGCGCTATTATGGCAACCCTATCTCATCATCATCATCATTTCAGCTGTAGGACGTTCACTGCTCAAATACTTTTTTTATCCACAACGAGGAAGCTTTTGACCTGTATCTCACTTGATGGTAAGTGATGATCAGGCCGAAGGTGGAAGCGAGCTTTACCCGGAATCCTCAACCACGGAGGAACTGGCTATCTTACCTCTAACTGCCGGAACACAACAATGTTGTTAACATTGTTGTTATGGCGACAGACTTAAGTAAGATGGTGGTTGCTAGCCAGGCCTAGCTCTTCCAATGATTTCCATGTTGCCCGGTTGGTAGCGGCCTACGTCCAGCGCCTTCCTGCTACCTTTACGATGTCGTCGGTCCACCTTGTGGGTGGACGTCCCACGCCGGGTTTTCCGGTACGCGGCCTCCACTCCAGAACCTTTCTGCCCCATCGGCCGTCAGTTCTGCGTACTATGTGCCCTGCCCATTGCCACTTCAGTCTTCTAATCCGTCGGGCTATGTCAGCGACTTTAGTTCGTTTACCCTATCTAATTTTGAAAAAACCTTTTCATAAGCCTTTTTAATATTTTTATTAATCTCTTTTGTATGCTGTTAGAGTAAACAGTAAAAGCTCTTTCACATGATATGGTTATGGGTGTATCTATACCATTTTTTGTTTAATGTCTGTTTGTCGGCATTTTTTAGTCACCCGGGGCGAAAGCAACTATGAGATTAACGTGACTAATTGATTTTATTTATAATCTGATGGATTTTAATAATGCCATCTGCTGAAGCATAAAGAAGCCATGATTGCTATATGATTCAACAGATGACACTTTGTTTTTACATTGCTTCTTCCGCCAAAACCCGGAATGCTACAAAATCCAGATTTAATTATATTTCCCCTTCACAGGTGGTGTCATCCCAAGAGAATGAGAGAAGAAACGCAGGCGCGGCCGCGGCCTACGCTCAGCACAAACACCGCGCGCTCACGCCGCACCATATAGAAAGGAAGGACGCGTAAGTAACCCTGATAATAATATTTTTTTTGATAAGAAAATAATTATTTATAGGTCATAATTTGAAGTTATTCAGTCATGCACGTTATCACTGTTAAAACCAAGTTTATTGTCTGAAAATCCAGTTAACTTAAACTTCAGATTAGTATATAGAGTCGTAATACAAACCAATGTTTAAAACTCGATCAATTTGTATAGATTCTGTTAAATGCTAGGTCAGAATATTGATTTTCAACGAAATTTAAATTCAATCGAGAGTTTAGCTTAATTTCAGAATTAGAATCATCATTTATTTGCTTTATATGTGGTACAGTAGAAGTGATATATTTAAGTCAATTGAGTTTGCGAATTGGTGATGTCATTGGTTTCTGTTACCATACAAAATAAAGATAATGTCAATCGACTGGTGATGTTACCTATCCTATCGTTAAAACCCATAAGTTCATTCAATAATAAACTGTTTCTCCCCAGTCGTCCAGCAGTATCAGTGAGCACAGTTAACACGGCGCCCGCCCAAGCCGCGGCGGCCAACGCGGCGGCAAACGCGGCGGCGACGGCGGAGGCGCGCCGAGCGGAAGGCACGCTGACGGCCGCCTCGCTCATCGACGCCATTATCACGCACCAGATCAGCCAGAGCACGGACCCTCAGAGGTTCCCGGTGAGTCGGCATCATCATCATCATTATCATCATCATTTCAGCGATAGGACGGCCAATAGGCCTCCCCCAATGAGCGAGCGAGTGATGTAGTGGACGAGTCTAGCCGTATCGTAATGTGCGAGGCCAGTCGTCTTGTGATGTGCGAGTACAGCCGTCTTGTAATGTGCGAGTCCAGCCGTCTTGTAATGTGCGAGTCCAGCCGTCTTGTAATGTGCGAGTTTAGCCATCTCGCTCATAGATGCCATCATCTCGCACCAGATCAGTCAGAGCACGGATCCTCAGAGGTTCCCGGTGAGTCCTCATCATCATTTCAGCGATAGGACGCCCAATAGGTCTCTATTTCAGCGATAGGCTTCCAGACGAGTTCAGCCGTCTTGTAATGTGCGAGGCCAGCCATCTCGCTCATCGTCGCCATCGTCACGCACCAGATCAGCCAGAGCACGGATCCTCAGAGGTTCCCGGTAAGTGATCTTCATCTTCATCATAATCATCATCATCATGGCAGCGATAGACTTCCCCCAATAAGCGAGCGAGTGATGTAGTGCATAATTTCAGCGATAGGACGGCCAATAGGCCTCCCCCAATGAGAGAGCGAGTAGTGTACGAGTCCAGCCGTCTTGTAATGTGCGAGTCCAGCCATCTCGTAATTTGTGAGTCCAGCCATCTCGCTCATAGATGCCATCATCACGCACCAGATCAGCCAGAGCTCAGAGGTTCCCGGTGAGTCCTCATCATCATTTCAGCGATAGGCTTCCCCCAATGAGAGAGCGAGTGATGTGTGTACCAGTCTCATCATCATCATCATCATTTCAGCCACAGGACGTCCACTGCTGAACATAGGCCTCCCCCAATGACTTCCACATCGCATGGTTGGTAGCGGCCTGCATCCAGCGCCTTCCTGCTACTTTTATCAGGTCGTCGGTCCACCTTGTCTACCAGTCTAGCCGTATCGTAATTTGCGAGTCCAGCCATATCATAATGCGCGAGTCCAACCGTATCGTAATGTGTGACTTCAGCCGTCTCGTTGTGCGAGTCCAACCGTCTTGTAATGTGCGAGTCCAGCCGTCTTGTAATGTGCGAGTCCAGCCGTCTTGTAATGTGCGAGTCCAGCCGTCTTGTAATGTGCGAGTCCAGCCGTCTTGTAATGTGCGAGTCCAGCCGTCTTGTAATGTGCGAGTCCAGCCCCCTACAAGCTAGCTAGGCCTCCACACGTCTATGTAGCCCCCCCCCCATTCCCTTCCCCCTTTTTGAAATAGCTAGGCCACCACCAGTACATCAGTTATGTAGATCCCCACTTCCCTCGTTCCCTGACATTCCACAAGCTAGCTAAGCCCGAGCCCAAGCACCTGCCGCTCGTCTCCCACCACCATGACGTCAGGTATGTAGCCCCCATAAGTCCCCATGAACTAGCTAGGGCATTACCAAGATATTAGTTATGTAGATCCTCCACCTCCCTCGTTCTCGACCACCCTAGAAGCTAGCTAAGTCATTACCACCACTTCAGGTATGCAGTTCCCCCCACAAGCTAGATAACCTAACCCCAAGCATCTGCCGCTCGTCTCCCACCACCATGACGTCAGGTATGTAGACCCATAACCCCCATAAACTAGCTAGGCTCCCCTTCCCTCGTTTTCGACCTCCCTACAAGCTAGCTAGGGCTCCACAACGTCTATGTAGCCCCCCCCCCATTCCCTTCCCCCTTTTTGAAATAGCTAGGCCACCACCAGTACATTTATGTATGTGTGTTTCCTCGTTCCCTGACATTCCACAGAACATTGGACAGTGGACATTCCTAGAAGCTAGCTAAGTCATTACCACCACTTCAGGTATGCAGTTCCCCCCACAGGCTAGATAACCTGACCACAAGCATCTGCCGCTCGTCTCGCACCACCATGACGTCAGGTATGTAGACCCATAACCCCCATAAACTAGCTAGGCTCCCCTTTCCTCGTTTTCGACCTCCCTACAAGGTAGCTAGGCCTCCACAACGTCTATGTAGCCCCTTATCCCCCTCCCCTTTCCAAATAGCTAGGCCACCACCAAGACATCAGTTATGGAGATCCCCCTTCCCTCGTTCCCCTCCCTTAGATTCTCTCGAATCATAAGTTCTGTGTTCGATTTCAAGAAGACATTGTCAGAAATATTTTTTGATTTCTTTTTTAACTACAACGGGAAACTCTTGGTCAGTGAGACACTGCAAATTGTTTTTTTACTATGTAAAGTAACTGAGTCTCCTGCTGGAAATCAGTGTTCTATTATTCATCTAATATTATACAGAGTGGATGTTCTTTCTTGGCATTAAATCTATGAAAAATCCTATTGAATCTACACAGAAAACAGTATCTGAAGAACAACGTTAAAAGAAAAACAATAAAAACTCATGAATCGTCATTCTTCACAGACTTCAAGACAGAATGCAGAGGGACATGGCGATAGCACAGAAGTACCATCAGCAGCATTTACAATACCAGGTACATGTACGTTGGAAACTTCATTCACAATATTATAATTGGCACTAATATCGAAAAAATATATCTGTCAAGGAATTATTTATTATGCTTTAACAACGTCAAGTGTCTTAATTACGTCTACATTATTGAAAATTGAACCATATTATTCATGAAGTAACCTCTTTACAGGTGTTAGAACGAGACAGAAGAGCGCAGCAAGCGCAATTCCTAGAAAGAGACAGACAAATTGCGATACAACAAAATAGAGAACGGTAAGATAGTTTAACTTAAATAACATTTTATTTCTTGTTTACATTTCTTGCAACTACAAGCAAATTACTTGTCGATAAAATCAGATGAACGGCAATTTTATTCATAGAATCATTCATCGTGTTGTATTACGTCTTTAGTAAGTTGTCCGTCATTACATACAGTGAACAAACAACAAATTAGACCTATAAATTACTACTCCAATTTTGTGTTCGTAAAGTTATGTTCAAGTCTAGTTTTTAGACGCGTTGCGAAACTAGGACCAGTTCAAGCATAGACAAATACCAAAAATTTCTGTAAACGAGCATTTCGACTCTATTTCAACCATAGACAATCACTAAGTCCTAATAATTCGGCTGTTTGGTATAGTGGTTCGAAATGGACTACTATTCTGGAGGTAGCGGGTTCGATTTCCGCACAGTACAAACATTTGTGTGCATGAACATATTTGTTTGTATTGGACTGGGTGTTTTCTATGTATATTAAGTATGTATTTACAAAAAAAAAGTATTTAAGTATGTTTATATCCGTTGTCTAGTACCCATAGTACAAGCTTTGCTTAGTTTGGGGCTAGCGGCGCAGTGTAAAATGTCCAAGGATATTTATTTATTTATTATATTATTTATTATTATAATTAATCAAATAACAATCTCCAAATTGCATCTACATAAATCCTCTAAATCTCCATACAGCGAGCGCGCAATGGCGGCGATGCAAGAGCGACACATGTCCATGGACCAACAGCATCAGCAACATCAACAGCAGCACCAACAACATCAACAGCAACAACAACACCAGCACCAGCAACACCAGCATCAACAACAACATCAGCAGCATCAGCAACAGATGCACGAGCGTCATCATTTGCAACACCAACAGGTATAAGATTTTAAACTTTCGCGTTCCATTTCAATGAGGGTTTTCGCGAATGAAAGATCCGCCAGATGGCAATACTTAGACGCGAGGTCCAAATGCTGCATGATTGGTTATTTTTGACATGACATTGACAGATATCTCAAAATCCACCAATCACGCAGCAGTTACCCCACATCCACGTCCCGCCTTCTAGCGGGTCTTTCATTCGCGAAAACGCTCATTAAAATAGTAAGACACGTAAACGTCAAGCCGTGAGTACATAATGTAACTCATTAATAAACGTTGCGTTAAGACCCGTGTCTTACTATTTTAACCAACAGGTATGGGGCCGTTCAAGTATTACGTAAGCAGATTTCTTACCATTTTTTACCCCCCCGCCCCCCTTGTCATCAAAAGTAAGCAAAGCACTTACCCCCTCCCCCTATGCTTACGTAAACATTTTTAGTTATAAATGTTTTTATATTGTCATTTTTAAAATAGGAAAATTCATGAAAATATTAGGTTTAACTGATACACATAGAGTAAGGAACAAAAAAATATAATAATATGCGGACTACGACTCTCAAATTTCAATAGCGCACGGTAATTTCCCTAATGTGCGGTAATTCCCCTAATCAGTTCTCAGAGCGAGTGCCTACGCATATGTATTACTAGCTTTCCGCCCGCGGCTTCGCCCGCGTGGAATTTTGTCTGTCACAGAAAAACTTTATCGCGCGCGTCCCTGTTTCAAAAACCGGGATAAAAACTATCCTATGTTCTTTCCCGGGACTCAAACTATCTCTATGCCAAATTTCATCAAAATCGGTTGCGAGGTTTAAGCGGGAAAGCGTAACAGACAGACAGACAGACAGACAGAGTTACTTTCGCATTTATAATATTAGTTGGGATTTGTGGGAATCCCCGAAAAAACGTAAATAACTAAGGATGACGTAATCATCATCTAGACCCCCTACCCCCCATGTCATCCAAAATAAGCAAAACAGAGATCCCCCCACCCCCCCTTGGTGCTTACGTAATACTTGAACGGCCCCTATGTTCGTCATAATACTATTATGGCAACCCTATTCCATCATCATTTCAACCATAGGACGTCCACTGCTGAACATAGGCCTCCCCCAATGATTTCCATGTTGATCGATTGGTAGCGGCCTGCGTCCAGCCTACCTTTATGATGTCGTCGGTCCACCTTGTGGGTGGACGTCTCACGCGGCCTCCACTCCAGAACCTTGCTGCCCCATCGCCCGTCAGTTCTATCTGCTCTGCCCATTGTCACTTCAGTCTCCTAATCCGTCGGGCTATGCCAGCGACTTTAGTTCGTTTACCCTATCTAATTTTGAACAAAACCTTTTCATAAGCACTTTTGATATTTTTATTAATCTCTTTTGTATGCTGTTAGAGTAAACAGTAAAAGCTCTTTCACATGATATGGTTATGGGTGTATCTATACCATTTTACCTAGATTAAGTTATGCTATCGCATTAGGTTTTAAGTACCTGAAAAGATAGTGATAATGTGTGTGGAAATAAATAAATAAATAAATAAATTTTTTGTTTAATGTTTGTTTGTCGGCATTTTTTAGTCACCCGGGGCGAAAGCAACTATGAGATTAACGTGACTAATTGGTTTTATTCATCATCTGATGGATTTTAATAATGGCATCTGTTGAAGCATAAAAAAGCAATGATTGCTCTATGATTCAACAGATGACACTTTGTTTTTACATTGCTTCTTCCTCCAAAACCCAGAATTCTACAAGATCCAGATTTAATAGTATTTTCCCTTCGCAGGTGGTGTCATCCCAAGAGAATGAGAGAAGAAACGCAGGCGCGGCCGCGGCCTACGCACAGCACAAACACCGCGCGCTCACGCCGCATCATATAGAAAGGAAGGACGCGTAAGTAACCTTAATAATATATTTATTTATTTTATGTTATATCGTAGTGTCAATTAATTTCCCATTTGTTTAAGACATTGCAACTTGTAGTTTTTGTCTAAGTTAAAATTGATTGTCCAAAAAGGAATGGGAAAATTTATGTAAATAAGATATTACAATATTTAAAAGTTTTCTTTTGAGTTTTATATTTCTTAAAAAAGTAGTTCTGCAGTCTATTAGACGCTTATTAATAAAAGTTAAGTTTAGTATGGAAATGTCATTTTAATCCAGGGTTCATCCTAGGTGTAACTTTTTATTAATAAGTGGGTTAGGGTTATAGACTCATGTTAAAGTACCATTAATGTTAAAGTTGAAATTTTCACAGATAATTAGAAACTAATCGTTATTAGGACTACCCCTTGTGTATGTAACTACCCACACATCATACAACTGCAACATGTTTGATGTACTTGAATTTGGTTATTCTTACCGTTAGATAATTACTGGCAACTAGTGGTGACAGAGTTTGTTCCGGCGTTTCTTCTCCGCACTTGCCATATTATGTTTGTCTCGGAGTGCTATGAAGCGTCTCCAAAAGATAAGGATACGTGTAAAGTGCCCTTTAATTATTTTTTTTACTGTATTTTAACATTCATAAGTGGTTTAAATTGAATAAAATATTTTAGTTTTGATTTTTATTTGTGTGTATTAATAAACCTTTTCTCCCCAGTCGTCCAGCAGTATCAGTGAGCACAGTTAACACCGCGCCGGCCCAAGCCGCGGCGGCCAACGCGGCGGCAAACGCGGCGGCGACGGCGGAGGCGCGCCGAGCGGAAGGCACGCTGACGGCCGCCTCGCTCATCGACGCCATCATCACGCACCAGATCAGCCAGAGCACGGACCCTCAGAGGTTCCCGGTGAGTCATCATCATCATCATGGCAGCGATAGGCTTCCCCCAATAAGCGAGCGAGTGATGTAGTGCATAATTTCAGCGATAGGTCGGCCAATAGGCCTCCCCCAATGAGCGAGCGAGTGATGTAGTGTACGAGTCTAACCTTCTCGTAATTTGCGAGTCCAGCCGTCTTGTAATGTGCGAGTCCAGCCGTCTTGTAATGTGCGAGGCCAGCCGTCTTGTAATGTGCGAGTCCAGCCGTCTTGTAATGTGCGAGTCCAGCCGTCTCGTTGTGCGAGTCCAGCCGTCTTGTAATGTGCGAGTCCAGCCGTCTTGTAATGTGCGAGTCCAGCCGTCTTGTAATGTGCGAGTCCAGCCGTCTTGTAATGTGCGAGTCCAGCCGTCTTGTAATGTGCGAGTCCAGCCGTCTTGTAATGTGCGAGTCCAGCCGTCTTGTAATGTGCGAGTCCAGCCGTCTTGTAATGTGCGAGTCCAGCCGTCTTGTAATGTGCGAGTCCAGCCGTCTTGTAATGTGCGAGTCCAGCCGTCTTGTAATGTGCGAGTCCAGCCGTCTTGTAATGTGCGAGTCCAGCCGTCTTGTAATGTGCGAGTCCAGCCGTCTTGTAATGTGCGAGTCCAGCCGTCTTGTAATGTGCGAGTCCAGCCGTCTTGTAATGTGCGAGTCCAGCCGTCTTGTAATGTGCGAGTCCAGCCGTCTTGTAATGTGCGAGTCCAGCCGTCTTGTAATGTGCGAGTCCAGCCGTCTTGTAATGTGCGAGTCCAGCCGTCTTGTAATGTGCGAGTCCAGCCGTCTTGTAATGTGCGAGTCCAGCCGTCTTGTAATGTGCGAGTCCAGCCGTCTTGTAATGTGCGAAGCCAGCCGTCTTGTAATGTGCGAGTCCAGCCGTCTTGTAATGTGCGAGTCCAGCCGTCTTGTAATGTGCGAGTCCAGCCGTCTTGTAATGTGCGAAGCCAGCCGTCTTGTAATGTGCGAGTCCAGCCGTCTTGTAATTTGCGAGTCCAGCCGTATCAGTGAGCACAGTTAACACGGCGCCCGCCCAAGCCGCGGCGGCCAACGCGGCGGCAAACGCGGCGGAGACGGCGGAGGCGCGCCGAGCGGAGGGAACGCTGACCGCCGCCTCGCTCATCGACGCCATCATCACGCACCAGATCAGCCAGAGCACGGACCCTCAGAGGTTCCCGGTGAGTCGTCATCATCATCATCATCATCATCATCATCATCATCATCATCATCATCATCATCATCATCATCATCATGGCAGCGATAGGCTTCCCCCAATAACCGAGCGAATGATGTAGTGCATAATTTCAGCGATAGGACGGCCAATAGGCCTCACCCAATGAGCGAGCGAGTGATGTAGTGTACGAGTCTAACCGTCTCGTAATTTGCGAGTCCAGCCGTCTTGTAATGGGCGAGTCCAGCCGTCTTGTAATGTGCGAGGCCAGCCGTATTGTAATGAGCGAGTTATCATCATAATGCAGCGATAGGATGCTCACTGCTGACCATAGAGGGCACGCTGACGGCCGCCTCGCTCATCGACGCCATCATCACGCACCAGATCAGCCAGAGCACGGATCCTCAGAGGTTCCCGGTGAGTGTCATCATCATCATCATCATTTCAGCCATAGGACGCCCACTGCTGACAATAGACCTCCTCCAACGATTTCCATAATGACCGGTTGGTAGCGGACTCCATCATCACGCACCAGATCAGCCAGAGCACGGATCCTCAGAGGTTCCCGGTGAGTCGGCATCATCATCATCATCATCATCATGGCAGCGATAGGCTTCCCCCAATAACCGAGCGAGTGATGTAGGTAGTGCATCATTTCAGCAATAGGACACCCAATAGGCCTTCCCCAATGAGCGAGCGAGGGATGTAGTGTACGAGTCTAACCGTCTCGTAATGTGTCAGTCCAGCCATCTCGCTCATCGACGCCATCGTCACGCACCAGATCAGCCAGAGCACGGACCCTCAGAGGTTCCCGGTGAGTCGGCAGCGATAGGACGCCCACTGCTGACCATAGAGGGCACGCTGACGGCCGCGTCGATCATGATGCCGATAAGTCCTCATTATCATCATTATTTCAGCCAGAGCACAGACACTCAGCGGTTCTCGGAGAATTTTGAATGGTTTTTTGCATTTCATAATGTGGTATAATAATAATTATAGCATCTACAATCTGGACCCCGTTGGGCATAGGAATTAGTTTATCATCAGTTCATTTAATCTCCACTGCAGGAACAAATTCTATCCAATTTATTAGAGGCAAATGGAAAATTTGTCATGTTCGAATATTCGTCCCTTAGTCGCCTTTTACGACATCCAAGAGAAAAATTGGCGTAGTCCCAGTCTACTCTGCTGGAACTACACGGCTAATGCAGAAAAATATAGTATAGTAAAAAAATACAGTTTTAATCAGATGCTGTTTTGCATCCAAACTTATTGACTGATATGCTATTGATTGTACATGATGTTGAAGGGAAGACGATCTAATTGTCAATCACCCTATTTATAATAGAATTTCCCCAATGCACACCATTTTATACCGTCTTCAGCTCTTCGCATCAGCTGCTGCAGTTCGCCCAGTCACCTTTTGTTTACACCTGCAGTTAATCTTTAATTAATGTTACCCATTCGTCCCCAGACACTACGCGAGTGCGACAACGGCCAGCCGCCCGAGCGCGGGCCCACGCCGCACGAGGCGCCGCGCGACGAGCCACTCGCCCACACCACCAGCATCAAGCTGGGAGACCTCGCCTCCAACATCATCACCAGGGACTTCTGCAGTCCCACCACCTCCATCATGCACCACAAGTAAGTGATCCTAGGACTAATAGTTCTAGAACTAGAGAAAGTTATATAGACCTACGAGCTCTTAGCGTGCATCAGCTGGGAGACCCGCATCCGACATCATAACAAGAGACCTCTGCAGCTCTTAATACACGACACCTGGAAGACCTGGCTTTTTCCAAGAGCTCTTAGCACGCATAAGTTGGGAGATCTTGTTTTCAATATCGTAAAAGACATTTGTAGCCTAGCCTCTTTCGTCATGCACCACAAGTAAGTATTTGGAAGAAGACTCTGAACTTCATGTACATTCCTTACGTCCTTCGGAATGAATAGTACCTCTCAAAAACCAGTCAAGTCTCTAAAGTCTGGTCTGTGAGCACGTATAATTTTGTCCAATGACCCCAAGCTACCCATCCTTATGGCTCGCGCGTAATTATATTGCTGTCGCGACTGTGCGACGGGCGCCCGCAGTGAGTGTGCGAGTAGCTTGCGTGCGAGGGTAGCTTGGGGTCGTTGGACAAAATTCTACGTGCTCACGGACCAGGCTTTACCTTAATTCACAAATCCTTAGCGCGCGTCGTTGGGCGATTTTGACTCCAACATCATTATAAATGACTACTGCAGTCCCACCACCTCCATCATGCACCACAAGTAAGTATATTTCACCTGGAACACCTTGAGTTTTCCAAGAGCCTTTTAGCAAGCATCAGATCTTATCTCGGAGATCTGGCTCTGAATATATTCCCTTCGGAACCAATACCTCTTCCATAGCTGAATAGTTTTCATCCACAATTCCACACTCACGAGCTTTCGACAAATCTCGTCTTCGACATAATCACAAAGGATATTAGTAACCTTACCACTTCCATCGTGAATCTCAAGTGAGTTTTAGAGGACCAAGTAGACTTTGGGATAAATAGCTGCCCTGGTACCAGTACAATAGCACTGCACAACAAAATTGCAACTTTTGGCTGATGATTGACTTTCATTACATGATGTTTACTAATTTGACGTCGCTGATTCTGAATCTGCCGTCCATTTTTTCTTAGCAGCTCTTGTTTACGTGTTATAGCTTTCACTCAAAAATTGCTAAATTTCAGTCTTAATTCGCCGACAGTTAAAAANGTCCAGCCGTCTTGTAATGTGCGAGTCCAGCCGTCTTGTAATGTGCGAGGCCAGCCGTCTTGTAATGTGCGAGTCCAGCCGTATTGTAATGAGCGAGTCATCATCATGGCAGCGATAGGACGCTCACTGCTGACCATAGAAGGCACGCTGACGACCGCCTCGCTCATCGACGCCATCATCACGCACCAGATCAGCCAGAGCACGGACCCTCAGAGGTTCCCGGTGAGTCATCATCAACATTTCAGCTATAGGACGTCCACCGCTGAACATAAGCCTCCAATGAGCGAGCGAGCGATGTAGTTTACGAGTCTATCCGTACCGTAATGTGCGAGTCAAGCCGCCTCGCTCATCGACGCCATCATCACGCACCAGATCAGCCAGAGCACGGACCCTCAGAGGTTCCCGGTGAGTGATCTTCATCATCATCATTTCAGCGATAGGACGGCCAATAGGCCTCCCCCAATGAGAGAGCGAGTAGTGTACGAGTCCAGCCGTCTTGTAATGTGCGAGTCCAGCCATCTCGTAATTTGTGAGTCCAGCCATCTCGCTCATAGATGCCATCATCACGCACCAGATCAGCCAGAGCACGGACCCTCAGAGGTTCCCGGTGAGTCGGCATCATCATCTTCATCATGGCAGCGATAGGACGCCCACTGCTGATATAGGCCTCCCAATGACCATAATGACCGGTTGATAGCAGCCTGTAGCGCTTTTTTGCTACCTTTATGAGGTCGTCGGTCCATCATGTGGGTCCTAGTGAGTCCATCTATACTAATGTGAACTAATCTAATCTTCTGGTAAATTGGAGATGTTACATGATGTTCGCAAATTTTTCTTCTTTTACGACAACCACAGGAAGAGTGGGGGTAATCCTATTCTATTTTGCTGGAATCACACGAATTCTCGTAATGCACATGTAATAGATGCTATTTTGCTTTAAAAATAAGTGCTGTCAACTGTAAAAGGTGATTTTCAAGGTCTAATTATCGTCAGCATATCTTTAGCAGTGATTCTCTCTCAATGTGAACCATTTTATCCTGTACTAGCGGCCGCCCGCGACTTCGTACGCGTGAATCCCGTTTTTCCCGCTAATTCCCGTTCCCGTGGGAATTTCGGGAATTCCTTTCTTAGTGCACCTCTACGGTACCTAAGCTACGTCCCTTCCAAATTTCAAGTGCCTACGTTTAGCCGTTTAGGCTGTGCGTTGATCTGTCAGTCAGTCAGTCAGTTTCTCCTTTTATATATTTAGAAGATTCGGCTCTTCGCATCTTCTGTAATGATCTTGACGATTTTTAATCTTTGGCGATTGTATTTTTATTACAATAATAATGTACCGAAAAAGAGTGTCTGATAAATAAACAATTATTGTAATAATTATATTAACTCAACCATTCGTCCCCAGACGCTCCGAGAGTGACTTGATTTGCGTAGTAATATTAATGTTACCCATTCGTCCTCAGACGCTACGCGAGTGCGACAACGGGCAGCCGCCCGAGCGCGGGCCCACGCCGCACGAGGCGCCGCGAGACGAGCCGCTGGCACACACCACCAGCATCAAGCTGGGGGACCTCGCCTCCAACATCATCACCAGGGACTTCTGCAGTCCCACCACCTCCATCATGCACCACAAGTAAGACATAAGACCTGGAAGGTAGCCTTATAGTTACTATCCTTGTGACGAGCCGCTCGCACACACCACCAGCATCAAGCTGGGGGACCTCGCCTCTAACATCATCACCAGGGACTTCTGTAGTCCCACCACCTCCATCATGCACCACAAGTAAGTATATTTCACCTAAAGCCTGGTCTGTGAGCACGTAGAATTTTGTCCAATGACCCCAAGCTACCCATCCTTATCGCTCGCGCGTAATTATGTTGCTGTCGCGACTGTGCGACGGGCGCCCGCAGTGAGTGTGCGAGCGTGACAGCAATATAATTGACCTGGCTTTTTCCAAGAGATCTTAGCACGCATAAGTTGGGACATCTTGTCTTCTATTATAAGGGACATTTGTAGCACTACCACTTCCATCATGCACCACAAGTAAGTATATTTCACCTAGAAGACCTGGCTTTTTCCAAGAGCTCTTAGCACGCATAAGTTGGGAGATCTTGTCTTCTATTATAAGGGACATTTGTAGCCCTACCACTTCCATCATGCATGCACCACAAGTAAGTACATTTCACCTGGAAGACCTGGCTTTTTCCAAGAGCTCTTAGCACGCATAAGTTGGGAGATCTTGTCTTCTATTATAAAGAACATTTGTTACCCTGCCACCTCCATCATGCACCACAAGTAAGTACATATGACCTGGAAGTTCTATAGGACCTTAAGAGAGCTATATCATACAGCTGTATAGAACCAGTAGCTTTTAGGACGCATCAGTTCGGAGACTCGCCTCCATAATCAATCTTCGAAGACTTCTGTAGCTTCTATCATGTACCACAAGTAAGACATAAGACCTGGAAGGTAGCTGAATAGTTCCTAATCACACGATGAGCCGCTCGCGCACACCACCAGCATCAAGCTGGGAGACCTCGCCTCCAACATCATCACCAGGGACTTCTGTAGTCCCACCACCTCCATCATGCACCACAAGTAAGTCCATTAAATAGAACAGCAGCTTAAAAAAAACATCTGGAAAAAAATTTGGTTCTTAAATGTCATGTCTCACCCATGATCATGCACTACCCGTATTTAAGGTACTTGGAAGATCTCGGGAGAATTAAATACCCTCACGCGATGTACCGCTTCATAATCATTGCCAAAGACTTCTGTAGCCCCACCACTTCCAATGTGCGCCACAAATAAGGACATAACCAGAGTAAATACAAATGAGTAGGTCATCTTCATAGAAACGCACCGAGCGCGGTTTGTATGTGAGCGCGCCAATATACTCATTTGTATTAACTCTGACATAACTCATGGAAGCGTGGCTTCTGGCAGCTCTGATATACCAGGGACTTTATGGAGGTGATGGCTTGATGCACCATCTAACTAATGTACCATCAGTAAATAGAAATAGCGAACTAGTTTACGTAGCACATTTGACCTAGAAGAGCTGGTTCTAAATGTCACGTCTTTCGGTACGACTGAGATGTGTAAAATCTGGTCGCCGAGCAGATAGAATTTCGTACAATGACCCCAAGCTACCCATCCTTATCGCTCGCGCGTATTTGTAATATTATCGCGCCCGCACACTCACTATGCGACGGGCGGCTGCAGTAAGTGCGAGAGCGCGACAGCACTATAATTACGCGCGAGCGATGAGGATGGGTAGCTTAGGGGTCACTGTACGAAATTATATCTACTCGGCGACCGGACTTTAGTGTTTATAACTTATTTCATCCCAACAAAGTTAAAAACGTTTTATCATTAGTTTGAACACCGCTAACAAATAATTCCCTCCCACAGCAGTCGCTTCGGCGTGACAACCTCGGAAGGCTACACGGTGTCCGTCTCAGCCAGCGGCGCGGCGGCCGCGGCCGAAGACTGGAAGCGCCGTGACGCGCCCAAGCACGCGCCATACTTGTTGGAGCCTGTCTCGCCGCCGGACAACCACCACGCTAACAGGTAACACCACAGAATAATAATAAGTACTACGTACAGAAGTTTTACTTCGCGAAGGTATTTTAAAAAATGTATGCTCAATGTCATTAACAATATGGTGTAATTTAGCCTGTCTCAAGAGTCAAGCACCATTTTGTTGACAAACATCAGTGATCGGCACTGCGCCGAAACTATAGGGCTGACTTCGGTAAAATGATGTGACGTGAGGTGCCAAACTGCGGAAAATGGCGGAGGAAATACAAATTATCATGAATAATATTAACTACTTATTTACCTCTCAGTGTCTTGTGGCAACTTAAAAAAATACATTCTGTGTTTTTATTATTATTTAGGCAGTTAAATACTGCACAGTATTTAGTACACCATTTTCTTTATTTTCTTCCATCATACACAAGAATACGCGTGCGTGAGTCAATGTTCGCTCGTATGTGAGGCCTTGTCGAATAGTTACCTGTAGGTGGGCCATCGTGCGTGTTTTGTTTTCGATGTAAACTCGCGGAGATGAACAGGCCTGGTAACACTCGTATAAGATTTTAAACTTTCGCGTTCCATTTCAACTAAAATAGAGGACCAGCCTGCTTGTGACCACGGCTGCAGCATAGCAGCCGAAACGTCAAGTCGTGAGTACATATGTAACTCATATAAAAATAAATCGCGTTAAGATCCGTGTTCCTCTATTTTAGGTATCGACTTGTTAGGTCACCTTTGTTATGATAAATGTGCATTAATATCTTAAAATTAGACCATAATATTTCATCGGATTGTTCCTCTAGGTACTAAACAAAGTGACATTATTTTTCTTTAATAGATTCGATTTATCGCAATATCGGTTCAGTTAACGGCTTCGAAAAATGTAAATAAAATCCTAGGGTTTTATGCCTAGCTATAACAGTAAGTTTATCTAAGATTTTGGAGAAATTTGAATATCTGAAGTTCGTTATTCAGATTTAATCATATTAAAGGTCTATTTACGGTTTATAAAGTAGACACTGTAAGTTGTAACTTTACTTTTTTGGAAAAAAGAAAAAAATAAAAGGGGCAATATAAAATATTTATTGGCAGAATATAGCATAAGTGTGATCAGGCTATGCTCTTTCTTTTGTAGGGGATGTAAAGTATTGTATTCATTAGATGTGTAACTGTTGTAAATACTTTCAAATTCAAATTTTCAAATTCAAAATCTTTATTGCATTCTATGTTGTACATAAGGTCTTAAACAATATATTGTAGTCTCAAACATAGACCCGGTTTGGGCACAGCAACATTGTGTTTTACAAACATTTATTTATTAATTCGGCATGCATATTAGTGTTAGTAATTTCAGAAATATTGAAAAATCTTAATTTTAACTGGAAGTAGGTATTTGATGTCATAATTTTAAAGATGTCAAGTTCACGATGTCAATTTACAATGTCAATATTTTATATAATAATAGGTATGTTCAATTTAACAGAATTTACGTGGAAGTTTGCTAAAATTATACAATTTTGAGTACACAGTCATACACTTTATAATAATATTCATGTCTAAAACAAAGATAATAAAAATATAAATTAAAAATAATTGCATAATGTCATGGAATTGTAGTATAATAATGTCAATAATAAAAATTAATAAAAATTGTATAAATTGGGTAGATACCACTATGTCAAAGTTTATCTTTAAAATAATCTTCCAATTTATAATAGCATTTTTCTAATAGCAAATTTTTTAGGAGGAGTTCAAATTTTTTATCATTGATTTCTGCCTTTATATTTTGAGACAAGTGATTGTAAATTTTAATCGACATGACGTTTGGGCTCTGACTATGTAAATGTAGTTTAGATTCCGGGATAGTCAGTTTATGTTTATCACGTGGAACGTATCGGCGATGTTGTTGGTCTATTACTTTTGTCGTAAACTTTGGATACTTTCGTACGAACTTACACTGCTCTAAGATGTATATCGACGCTAATGTTAGTATTTTATACTCCTTGAAGTAAGGTTCACAACTCACACGGTCTTTGATGTTTGCAATGACTTATCCTTAACCTTAAATTTCCAGAAACAACAACAGCAGCAACCGGCGTTACAGCGGCGTTAGCGGCGTCAGCGGCGTCGGCGGCGTCGGCGGCGGCGTCAACGTCGGCGGCGGCGTGCTCACCGCCTTTGACTACGTCACCAACCGCATAGTTGAAGTCATGAGGAGTGACGCTGATGAGAGAGCGAAACCACTAGCGTTCCCGCCTACCGCCTACGCGTATCCGTATTCCGCCCTAAACGTGGCCACGCCCGCCCAGCCGCCTGCCATGCCCGCACCACATACTGAAGGTAAGATCAAGTTTGATACTTCAGTCCATAGTATATTACTTAATAATAGGCTATCTAAGGCGACAATAGGCCAACTGGGGCGACAATGGGCCAACTGAGGCGACAATAGGCTAACTGGGGCGACAATAGGCCAACTAAAGCGACAACTGAGGTAATGATTGACTTACTGAGGCCACAATAGCTCACCACCTTTGAGTACGTCACCAACCGCATAGTTGAAGTTATGAGAAGTGACGCGGATGAGAGAGCGAAACCGCTAGCTTTCCCGCCTACCGCTTACGCGTATCCGTATTCCACCCTAAACGTGGCCACGCCCGCCCAACCGCCAGCTATGCCCGCGCCGCATACTAAAGGTAAGCTGATGTTTTGATACTTCAGTCCATAGTAAATTACTTAATAATAGGCTATCTGAGGCGACAATAGGCCACTGAGGTGACAATAGGCTCACTGAGGCGACTATAGGTTAACTGAGGTAATAATAGACTAACTGAGACCACAATATTCGACTACGTCACCAACCGCATCGTAGAAGTCATGAGAAGCGATGCCGATGAGCGGGCGAAACCGCTAGCGTTCCCGCCTACCGCCTACGCGTATCCGTATTCCGCCCTGAATGTCGCTACGCCCGCCCAGCCGCCAGCCATGCCCGCGCCGCATACTGAAGGTAAGCAATTGAGCATTGACAATGCAGTTTACAGGACATCAGTTAGACTATGGCCTAGCTGAGGCGATAATAGAGTAAGTAAGTCGACAATAGGCTGACTGGGGTGACAATAGGCTAACTGGGGCGACAATAGGCTAACTGAGGTGACAATAGGCCAAATCGCAAATCGTTGAACTTTAGTAGTAAGCTCTTAACTCTTTTTGAAATATTATAAAAACACAAATATTATATCTTATGACGTCAATTGCCACGTTAAAATACTCGTATATTAAAATACGTGTTGTGTGTGAAACAAAGTTTAGATTTTAAGATGTACATTTCCTGTAGTGTTTTATAAGCACTTGTTCATCCCATGAGCAGACTATCCTTATTTTTATAACCGTACTCAAACTTGTGTTCGTTCGTTTCAGCCGAAAGACGTCCACTGCTGGACAAAGGCCTCCCCCAAGGATTTCCACAAAGACCGGTCCTGCGCCGCTCGCACCCAGGCACCTCCCGCGACCTTCACCAGATCGTCGGTCCACCTAGTGGGAGGCCTGCCCACGTTATGTCTTCCAGCTCGTGGTCGCCACTCAAGAACTTTCCTGCCCCAGCGGCCATCAGCTCTTCGAGCTATGTGCCCCGCCCACTGCCACTTGATTTTAGCGATTCTGCGGGCTATGTCAGTCACTCTGGTTCTCCTACGGTACAAACTTGTGTAATTAAACCAAACATCTCTCCCGCAGCGCCAGGCAGCAGCAGTAGCAGCGCCGTGGCGCCGGAGCCGGCGCCGCTGATGTCTGCGCAGTACGAGCCGCTGTCCGACGAGGACTGACGAGCCGCCCCCGCGCCGCCTCCGCAGGGCCGCCGGTAACCCCGCGGCTGGGGACATCGCGACTGGGAAGGGACCGCGTCTAGGAAGTACGCCACTAGGATGTGGGCCACCCCTAGGAAGTGAGGTACACCTGGCGAGTGTACCGTCCTTGGGAAGTACGCCCCTAGAAAATGGACCGCTAGCCAGAAGACCGGCCCTAGCGCGTCCTTGGGAAGTGGGACGTCGCTTAGGAACTAGCCAGAAGACCGGCCCTAGCCATTGAAATGGGACGCCTCTAGCGAGTGTACCGACCCTAGGAAGTGAGACGCCCCTAGCGAGTGCACCGACTCTAGGATGAGACCGCACCTAGAATGTGGGCCACCCCTAGGATGGGACCGCGTCTAGGGAGTGGGACGCTCCTAGCCAGTGTACCGCCCTAGGAAGTGGGACGCCCCTAGGAAGTACGCCTCTAGAAAGTGAACCGCTAGCCAGAAGACCGGCCCTAGCGAGTGTACCGACCCTAGGAAGTGGCACGTCGCTAAAGTGGGACGCCCCTAGGAAGTATGCCCATTGAAAGTGAACCGCTAGCCAGAAGACCGGCTCTAGCGAGTGGTCCGCCCGTGGGAAATGGGACACATGTAGCGAGTGTACAGTTCCTTGGAAGTGGGACGTCGCTAGGAAGTGATACGCCCCTAGGAAGTAAGACGCGCCTAGGAAGTGGGATGCCCCTAGATAGTGGACCGCAAGCCAGAAGACCGGCCCTAGCGAGTGTACCGACTCTAGGAAAGGACCGCCCCTAGAGAGTAGACTGCACCTGGGAAATGGACCAGCCAGAAGTCAGTAGCCAGAAGACCGGCCCTAGCGAGTATACCGCTGGGAAGTGGGACGCCCCTAGGAAGGGACCGTTAGCCAGAAGACCGGCCCTAGCGATTCTACCGCCCCTGGAAAATGGGACACCCGTAAAGAGCAGACTGCACCTGGGCAGTGAACCGCCTCTAGCCAGAAGATCGGCCCTAGCGAGTGTACCGCCCATAGAGAGCGGGCTAGACCAGTGGTCCGCCCATCACCAGACATGGCTTACCACCAGCAGCCAAGAAAATTAATAACGACAACAAATCGAGAAGAAATTGGCTAAAAAAGTACGCATCCAGTGATAAAAGTTTGCTTCGAATTCTTATTTATTTCATGCTCACTCGTTCCTGTNTATTTCAATCACAGATTTGAAATCGTCATTAAAAATTGGACTAATATCATGTAACATAACCCAATCATCAGAAATGCTGTTGTGCAGTGTAGTTTATCTTCACCCACGAGCTCTTAGCACGCATCATATGAGAGAACCGCCTCCATAATCGTCTTTAGACACTTCTGTAGTTCTATCACTTATATCATGCACCACAACACAAGTAAAAGTTTTGTGGTGGTGATGCTGAGATGGTGACTCGATAATGCACTACCAGTAAGTTGTAATAGCGAACTGTTAACTAAACAAATTGATCTTCAAGAACGGCTGAGATGTCTATCGTTTCATTCCACTTCCCAATGGAGTCCAAAACGTTTTGGCAATAAGATTAAACCTGGGAGATATGCATTATTATTTCATTCCAATGAAGTTCAAAAGGTTAGATGAAACACCGCTAATAACAAACAATTCCCTCCCACAGCAGTCGCTTCGGCGTGACCACCTCGGAAGGCTACACGGTGTCCGTCTCAGCCAGCGGCGCGGCGGCCGCGGCCGAAGACTGGAAGCGCCGTGACGCGCCCAAGCACGCGCCATACTTGCTGGAACCTGTCTCGCCGCCGGACAACCACCACGCTAACAGGTAACACCACAGAATAATAATAAGTACTACGTACAGAAGTTTTACTTCGCGAAGGTATTTAAAAAAATGTATGCCCAATGTCACTAACAATATGGTGTAATTTAGCCTATCTCAAGAGTCAAGCACCATTTTGTTGACAAACGTCAGTGATCGGCACTGCGCCGAAGCTATAGGGCTGACTTCGGTAAAATCATGTGACGTGAGGTGCCAAACTGCGGAAAATGGCGGAGGAAATACAAATTATCATGAATAATATTAACTACTTATTTACCTCTCAGTGTCTTGTGGCAACTTAAAAAAATACATTCTGTGTTTTTATTATTATTTAGGCAGTTAAATACTGCACAGTATTTAAGAACACCATTTTCTTTATTTTCTTCCATCATACGCAAGAATATGTGAGGCCTTGTTGAATAGTATCTTGTAGGTGGGCCATCGTGCGTGTTTTGTTTTCGATGTAAACTCGCGGAGATGAACAGGCCCAGGCCTGGTAACACTCGTATAAGATTTTAAACTTTCGCGTTCAATTTCAACTAAAATAGAGGACCAGTCTGCTTGTGACCACAGCTGCAGCATAGCAGCCGAAACGTCAAGTCGTGAGTACATACATGACGGCGCGTTTCTATTTTTAATAATATTCAGTCAATTTAAACTTGATTAATTAAGCATTGAGTTGCAAAATAAAAGTAATTCAATTGATTTTTTGACACATAGGTTACTGTCATATTATGATAATTAGATTTTTGTAATTTGATTGCATGCATGTAATAATTTTGATTTTGTATTATGATTCCAAAATAATTCTCTCTATTATTAAAATAAGCTTAGTTAAAAAAATAAGTCACTAAACTAAGGAGGGACTGTGTAGTCCGCGTGGGCTTGCGAGTTGCGTCAGCGTGCGTAGTGGGGGTGTAGTGGGGAGGCTGCCTCAGTAGCAAATCAAAGCCCGGTCGTTCAGTTGTGCTCAAGACGTCGCGCTGAACGTAGCTCGCAATTCTACGTACTCCGTAAAGTATTCACATTGTTATTCTGTTCAAACGAATAAACGTTTTTTGTGTGAAGTGTTTCGGGTCTTATTTAACAAACGCTGCTTCCCGCCTATGGACTCGCATGAGCGTAACCACCAGCTCGGAAATCCTTCATACATATGTAACTCATATAAAAAAATCGCGTTAAGATCCGTGTTCCTCTATTTTAGGTATCGATTTGTTAGGTCACCTTTGTTATGATAAATGTGCATTAATATCTTAAAATTAGGCCATATATTTCATCGGACTGTTCCTCTACTAAACAAAGTGACATTCTTTAATAGATTCGATTTCGCAATTTCGATTCGGTTAACGGCTTCGAAAAATGTAAATAAAATCCTAGGGTTTTATGCCTAGCTATAACAGTAAGTTTATTCAAGATTTTGGAGAAATTTGAATATCTGAAGTTCATTATTCAGATTTAATCATATTAAAGGTCTATTTACGGTTCATAAAGTAGACACTGTAAGTTGTAACTTTATTTTTTTGGAAAAAATAAAAAAATAAAAGGGGCAATATAAAATATTCATTGGCAGAATATAGCATAAGTGTGATCAGGCTATGCTCTTTCTTTTGTAGGGGATGTAAAGTATTGTACTCATTAGATGTGTAACTGTTGTAAATACTTATCCTTAACCTTAAATTTCCAGAAACAACAACAGCAGCAACCGGCGTTACAGCGGCGTTAGCGGCGTCAGCGGCGTCGGCGGCGTCGGCGGCGGCGTCAACGTCGGCGGCGGCGTGCTCACCGCCTTCGACTACGTCACCAACCGCATAGTAGAAGTCATGAGGAGTGACGCTGATGAGAGAGCGAAACCGCTAGCGTTCCCGCCTACCGCCTACGCGTATCCGTATTCCGCCCTAAACGTGGCCACGCCCGCCCAACCGCCAGCTATGCCCGCGCCGCATACGGAAGGTAAGCAATTGAGCACTTACAATGTAGTTTACAGGACATCAGTTAGACTATGGCCTAGCTGAGGCGATAATAGAGTAAGTAAGGCGACAATAGGCTGACTGGGGTGACAATAGGCTAACTGAGGCGACAATAGGCTAACTGAGGCGACAATAGGCTAACAGAGGCGACAATAGGCTAACTGGGGCGACAATAGGCTAACTGAGGCGACAATAGGCTAACTGGGGCGACAATAGGCGAACTGAAGCGATAATAGGCTAACTGGGGCGACAATAGGCCAACTGAAGCGACAATAGGCTAAATGAGGTAATAATAGGCTAATTGAGGCCACAATAGCTTACCGCATTCGACTACGTCACCAACCGCATCGTATAAGTCATGAGAAGTGATGCTGATGAACGGGCAAAACCGCTAGCGTTCCCGCCTACCACTACCGCCTACGCGTACCCTTACTTCGCCTTGAATGTCGCTACGCCCGCCCGGCCCAGTCCATAGTATATCACTTAGTAATAGGCTGATTGAGACGACAACAGGCTGACTGAGGTGACAATAGGCTAACTAGGGGACAATTTGCTAATTGAGGCCAACTGAGGCGACAATAGGCTAAATAAGGCAACAATATGGTGACTGAGGTAATAATAAGCTAAATCGGAAACATCAACATTTATTGCCTGTCTTCTTCACGTGGAATGCCTCCATAGTCCGCGACAATAGACTTCAACTATGGCATTATCCAACTGCTTTTCTCTCTAAAAATATAAATATTAGACCTTATGATCTCATCTAACACAACATCCCATGACCAATCCTTTAGTTCATGCAACGACTAAAGCCTGGTCCATGAGCACGTAGAATCCTGTCCAATGACCCCAAGCTGCCCATCCTTGTCGCTCGCACGTAATTATGTTGCTGTCGCGCTCGCACACTCACTGTGGGCGCGCGTAGCACAGTCGCGACAGCAATATAATTACGCGCGAGCGACAAGGATGGGTAGCTTGAGGTCATTGGACGGGATTCTACGTGCTCACGGACCAGGCTTTAGCCTACATCACCCTTGTTTACGTAACATTGTGTAACCCATCTTCTCTTCCGCAGCGCCAGGCAGCAGCAGTAGCAGCGCCGTGGCGCCGGAGCCGGCGCCGCTGATGTCTGCGCAGTACGAGCCGCTGTCCGACGAGGACTGACGAGCCGCCCCCGCGCCGCCTCCGCAGGGCCGCCGGTAACCCCGCGGCTGGGGACATCGCGACTGGGAAGGGACCGCGTCTAGGAAGTACGCCCCTAGGAAGTACGCCCCTAGGAAGTGGGATGCACTTAGCGAGTGTACCGTCCTTGGGAAGTGGGACGTCGCTAGGAACTAGCCAGAAGACCGGCCCTAGCCATGGGGAATGGGACGCCCCTAGAAAGTACGCCTCTAAAAAGTGAACCGCTAGCCAGAAGACCGGCCCTAGCGAGTGTAATGCTAGGAAGTACGCCCCTAGGAAGTACGCCCCTAAGAAGTGGGATGCACTTAGCGAGTGTACCGTCCTTGGGAAGTGGGACGTCGCTAGGAACTAGCCAGAAGACCGGCCCTAGCCATAGGAAATGGGACGCCTCTAGAGAGTGTACCGACCCTAGGAAGTGAGACGCCCCTAGCGAGTGCACCGACTCTAGGATGAGACCGCACCTAGAATGTGGGCCACCCCTAGGATGGGACCGCGTCTAGGGAGTGGGACGCTCCTAGCCAGTGTACCGCCCTAGGAAGTGGGACGCCCTTAGGAAGTACGCCTCTAGAAAGTGAACCGCTAGCCAGAAGATCGGCCCTAGCGAGTGTAATGCTAGGAAGTGGGACACCGCTAGGAAGTGAGACGCCCCTAGGAAGTACGCCCCTAGGAAGTGCACCTAGCGAGTGCACCGACTCTAGGAAGGGACCGCTCCTAGAATGTGGACTGCCCCTAGAGAGTAGACTGCACCTGGGAAGTAAACCGCCTCTAGCCAGAAGACCGGCCCTAGCGAGTATACCACCCCTGGGAAGTGAGATGCATCTAGCGAGTGTACCGACCCTAGGAAGTGGGACGCCCCTAGGTAGCGGGATGCCCCTAAAAAGTAGACCGCCTGCCAGAAGACCGGCCCTAACGAGTGTACCGACTCTAGGAAAGGACCGCCCCTAGAGAGTAGACTGCACCTGGGAAATGGACCAGCCAGAAGTCAGTAGCCAGAAGACCGGCCCTAGCGAGTATACCGCTGGGAAGTGGGACGCCCCTAGGAAGGGACCGTTAGCCAGAAGACCGGCCCTAGCGATTGTACCGCCCCTGGAAAATGGGACGCCCGTAAAGAGCAGACTGCACCTGGGCAGTGAACCGCCTCTAGCCAGAAGATCGGCCCTAGCGAGTGTACCGCCCATAGAGAGCGGGCTAGACCAGTGGTCCGCCCACCACCAGACATGGCTTACCACCAGCAGCCAAGAAAATTAATAACGACAACAAATCGAGAAGAAATTGGCTAAAAAAGTACGCATCCAGTGATAAAAGTTTGCTTCGAATTCTTATTTATTTCATGCTCACTCGTTTCTGCGTGAAAAGTGATTCATTGAGCTAATAAATCGAGCTTTTTCAATGTACTACAATACTTTAAGAAAATTCAGAGGCCGTCATGGAATCAGAGAGATGACGTCACTGAAGACGAATCATTCATTCAAAAAAGTTCTGCGACTGTGAACAATGAAACTTGAATGTGATTTTGTAAAACTCTCATTTAACAAAAAGCTAGGTATTGAAATTCTTAACTTTAACTTATTATAACGGAACATAACTTTAAACGATCGAAAAATAACGGACATTAGAAACAAACAAACCAAACGAAGAAAAAAAAGGACGTTAATACGAAAAACTTTAGTAACAGACTGAAAAGACTTGAAACAAAGTGACATAAGTGCAAAATGACGCGTTTTGCGTCGAGCGAACGGAGTGCGCGATAGACAAACATTATTTTAAATGACTGCGAAGAATTAGTGTAAAAGGTCTTATGTTAAAAACAGGGATAGTGCGAAGTGTGGCGTCAGTTGCGGAGGATCGGTTGACATTGTTATTCCTTTCAATTTCGAGCTTACGATGTTGTACCGTGAGGTCTGTGACTATCTATTAATGAATACTATTCCGGTGAGTTTTGTACGCTCTTTTGTATTTTATTGACTATTCATTATGATTATTTGTCTTGTATACTCACGGTCCTCGGCATTAGGTTTAGTTCGGTTCATCATATCATTTCATATTCCGACGATGCCAAATGATAACTCCGTAGACTGATCATCCCCTTACTTAGTGGTTAGTGAAGCGCCTGATTACCACTATTCACTAAATAAAGCTTACGCATAAATACATCTGGCAGTTTGACAGATCTTCTCTTCATTCTCGCTTACAGGGCACATGCTATACTTAATCCGATCTGTCAAACTGTCAAATGTAAATTATTATTTAAATTAATCAGACACAGCATTAAGGTAAAATTGTGACGTCTATGTACAATCATACTGTGAGCTGTTTATTTTTATTTTGTAATACAATAAATATCGAAAATTGTATATTGCTTTCATTCATTTTCAAATAATTTTAAATGTATACTTGTACCATTCATCTAATATTTGTAATCTTGTACCGGGCATAATGTGTTCACAGCCGTTTGGTGACGCAAAAAGTATTTATTGGATGTCTTTGAGCGTTTGTAAATACATATGTATTATTTAATATTACGATAAATATTAATCAACATAAATCAACGAAGAATACTAATTAATCGATTTAGGATTTTTCTTTTTGCGATTAAATGGTTTGACGCATTATGCCTGTGGGTGACCATGCCAAGACTTGACGGCGCTATGTTGGGATATGTTTACTGTAAGATCGAGTCTTGTAATGGGGTTTCGAATGCAGATGCCTGATTGATAATTCATAGAGTTCGGTTCTTAAATTTTGTGATACACGTGTTCACGTTGATTTCAAAAGATGATGAGTGATACACGCTACAGTCACGCGTCTGTGCGCACATAGATAGTGTCTATGTAGTTCTCACTCGCGTCGAGCCTTCCACGGGGCGGCCGTCGGCATCGTTAGACACTAATCAAGTTTTTTACAAAGTTTATAATTTGAATTGGATTTTGAATTCATTTTTGGGTGTCGTCTTACTAAGGGGGGACTAGCGACTCCGACGCCGCCTCCTCAGCAGCACTGCCGCATGCAACATTACCTCAGTACGGTCAACGTGGCGGACGTCGACGTGAAATGTTCTTATTCGAATAAATAAAGATGTAATATTTTATCCAGTCTTCCATCACCACTCTGACGCCGGGGCCCCGCGGGGCCCCTCTTAGTATAGGATTTCCGCGAGACTTCGTCCATTATTTAGCGACACTTAGTAAGTTAGTACAAGTTGTACATTGTGTATAGACGCGCCGGCTTCGCCGCCCCCGCCGGGTCCCGGGCGGACGTTCGTAAGTTAACTTTTTGTAAGATTACTCGTTATTTTTGTATAGCTTCGCTCCGCGCGCGCCGCGGCCGTCCCTGTACATACCCGGCGAAGCGGCGCGCGCCGGCGGTTCCACGAACCTTATACATATACTGTATGTACTCGGATCTAACCGTAAATTATGTATACATATGTAAAAGTGTATGGTTATTGTGTAAACACTGTGCATTTGTAATTATGTAGCGTTAGTTAAGGTTACTATAGGTAGTTAGCGCTGGGCGCGTGGGAGAGCGCTCGCCGGCGCGTGCTTCGTGTTACACCTGACGCCTGTAAATTTTTGCAAAATACATACGTGAAACGTTTCTTTCATATTGAAAGATGTCCGGGAGCGCCGGCGCGCTCTGGCCGCGCCCGCCAGCCGACTGAAACGCCTACAGCGCGACCCTCTCGACAATGTGATTTCTTTATAAACTGTAATGTTATGTAAGTAGCCGAAGAAGATAATCCTTGTAAGTCCGATCTTAAGCGAAAACAAAGTTTTGGGAGGACAAATCAATAAATAAGATGCAAATCTATTTTATGTGTTTTATTTATCTTGCAATGAGAGACATACAAAAGTTATGCGTGACTTGTGATATTTATAGAAAAATAAAGTCGAAGACTAGATTTATTCAATTGATGTCTTAATTTTTATTTTTGGAAATAATAAGTCAATACGATTCATAATTTCTATCAAAAGTGATCACAATACTTGGAGTCATAGTAGTTGAATGAGATACATTTCTAAATAACACAGATAAACTGTCATATGTTTGAATACCTATCCACAAACCACATATCAAGTCAAATTCTTCAAATACACAAACACATCACTGATCTTGTCATACACCCGCAAGTGCGTGTGGTTCTCGAATATCTCAATGTACACTTCCACCATCAGCAACACCAGATACGCCGAGAACACCGTCACGCCAGTCCATGCTCTAGCTTTGGGGTTGCTGTAGCTGAAACGGGCGCTTCTTTCCATCGTTATATCTAGTTCTTAGGTTCTTAGCTAGCACTTAGATAAGTGATTCATAATAAACTTCCTGTATTCTGTAAAACTTCTGTTTCACTGGTCACTCATACGTAAGTGCACTTATAACACCATTGGTATATTTGGTAAGTTCACTTCAAGCACGGTATGTCACTCGAAGCACCATATTGCGTATTTTTTATCGCACATACCTAATATGCCATTTTCAGTTTAGTGTACACACACACATAATGCTATAAATTGAAATAGTAACATTTAAATGGCTTAAAAGCCATTACCTAAAGTAAATATGAAAAACATCAACCTAAAAATATATGCTACAAAATGGATGTTGTACACTGCGTGTTCTATTGAACTTGGCACGGAGTCAAGGCACTTGGCCTCCGTCATTTCTTTTACGCAATCGTCTTACGTATATCATACAAAATTTCCACTCCCAAGTGGTAAATAAATAAATAAATAAATAAATAAATAAATAAAAGTTTATTTAACAACTTTAACATTTTTTACATTTCTTACATTGCATTNGTGCTTCGTTACACCTGACGCCTGTAAATTTTTGCAAAATACATACGTGAAACGTTTCTTTCATATTGAAAGATGTCCGGGAGCGCCGGCGCGCTCTGGCCGCGCCCGCCAGCCGACTGAAACGCCTACAGCGCGACCCTCTCGACAATGTGATTTCTTTATAAACTGTAATGTTATGTAAGTAGCCGAAGAAGATAATCCTTGTAAGTCCGATCTTAAGCGAAAACAAAGTTTTGGGAGGACAAATCAATAAATAAGATGCAAATCTATTTTATGTGTTTTATTTATCTTGGAATGAGAGACATACAAAACTTAGTCATAGTCATAAAGAGTGACTAATAATAACTAGAGATGGGCCGACTAGTCGCCGACTAGTCGGGAAAGCCGACTATTCGGCATCATTTGTAGTCGGCCGACTAGTGACGACTATTCGGCAAAATATGCCGATTATAATCGGCGCATTACAAAATTAAATATGTAACTGAAATAAAACTCACAATCACTAAGATTATTATGAGGTGGACCAAGGGCGTTTACCTAAACCACTTTTAACTGCATAACATCAGTAAGTGGTTTCACCTGATTTAAAATTTTGGCAAGTGGAGAGGAATCAGTGGGCCTAGGATGCGTGCCGCGATAAGCGCAATTTTGCCCATACATTTTGACGTCGATAAGTGAGAATAATATCACGGCGCGCATCCTAGCCCAGCAGGAGGCGATCATATTGTCACCTCCTCTGACCCCTCGAAAATTATGACATCTACCTTAGGTACTGTTAGGTGATTTTGTAATGTATCATTTCTCAAGAAGTTAGAGAGGGTGGCCCATTAAATTACCTTTAAAATGCAATAGTTAAAGTTGTACAAAAATTTACAGTTTTCGCTTCCTTTAAATGAATTTTCTTCTGGGCCACCCTGTATTTATCTCTTTAGAAATCTAGATATTCATATTTCTTTGAGAAAATCTAGATATTATTCTTCGGACAAGTAGGTATTAGAATGATCGGCATTGCCGACTAGTCGGCCGACTAATCGGCAATTTTAAAACCGATTAGTCGGCTAGTCGGTTAGTCGGCAAAGGCCATAGTCGGCCCATCACTAATAATAACACTATATGGTTTTAAAATGTCAAGGCCTTAATGCTATAATTAATAAAGCCTAGATTGCACGTCAAAAATTCAATTTATTGATAATTAATTTTTATTTTTGAAAGTAATTTGAATTGACAATTAACTTCTTAATTTCATCATTAAGTTTAATAGTGATCCCAAATACTTGAATAATAGTAGTCGAATGAGAGATTTATAAATTAAAATATAAACTTTATCAAATGTTTGAATACCTATCCACAAACCACATATCAAGTCAAATTCTTCAAATACACAAACGCATCACTGATCTTGTCGTACACCCGCAAGTGCGTATGGTTCTCGAATATCTCAATGTAGACTTCCACCATCAGCAGCACCAGATACGCTGAAAACACCGTCACGCCAGTCCACGCTCTAGCTTTGGGATTGCTGTAGCTGAAACGGGCGCTTCTTTCCATCGTTATATCTAGTTCTTAGGTTCTTATCTAGCTTTTAGATAAGTGATTGATTAAAACATTGTGTTGGGTAAAACTGGTCATTCATTCATAAGTGCACTTACAACACCATTGGTATATTTTAATAGGTTCACTTCAAGCCTAAAGGAAAGTAATACATCTTGAAGCACTTAAGGTATGCGTTTTTAGTAAGGTCACTCGAAGCACCATTTTTACGTACTTATCATAAACATGTCTACTACACGCACTCAATGCTATATTGAATATTCAAAGCAGTTGTATAGTCGTAAAATCCAGTCTCTTTAATTAAAATCTATGTAAAATATATGCTACAACAAAATGGACGCTGTGTACTGCGTGTTCTATTGAACTTGGCACGGAGTCAAGGTATCTTCTTGGCCTCTGTTATTTCTTTACGCAATCGTCTTACGTATATCATTCAAAATTTCCACTCCTAAGTGGTAAATAAAAATATATCTTTTCGTCATGATCTTATGACTTCACAAAGTCTACGCAAACTTATTTTGTATGTTTTTTCAAGTTTATGTAAAAAGGGGTGTCAAATAATACAAAAGCTGTAGGTAACACAGTTTATTACCACATACACAATCACGTGTTAAACATAACATCAAATATTTACAACAACCATCCATCATATACCGGCCGGGCAACTTTGGTACTGGCAAATCAGATGAACAATATATACTTAACAATTTAATAAATAAAATGCAAATAAATTAATAACTTTGTTGGTAGGTTTCCTAAAATAGGCATGATTTAATCACTATAAACTCTTACACTATTTATGCTTAAAGTGCAACTATTATAAAAAAGGATTCAGTTAAAAATGGATCTATAAAATTGATCTAAATTCACTATTCATTCACCTACATACCAGCCGCTACCGTCTGCAAGATGCTAAGTAAAAGTTGTTCTTACAACTTTATTTAGCTTACCCCTTACGTTAACCTTAGTTGATAAATACTATGTATTGCTTGTAATACTTTTACTTGCTGTTCTTGACGAATTCCTCGCCAACCTTGATGTTCTTGAGGAGTTCAGGGATGGCAGCCTTGAGGAGTTCCTTCTCGTAGGCGTTGAGGGTTCCAAAGCCAAGGTTCTTCTCCACTCCGTTCTTGCCGAGAACTACGGGGTTGGCGAAGTAGGGAGATTCGGTGATATCGGACTTGATGTACGCGCATTCCACTACGTTTGATTCGCCCTGGAAAAAATGGGTTTTTATAATACACAGTTTTCCCACGTTTGTTAGTGCAATATTTATTTTAAATAAGAAGTCATTGAGACGGATAAGATGAGCATTGTGAAAGAGCAGTAGTTGCGTAAATCCCACTAATATTATAAATGCAAAAGTTTGGATGTCTGGATGTTTGTTACTCTTTCACGCAGAAACTACTGAACGGATTTTGATGAAACTTTACAGTATTATTGTTTATAATATAACCCAGAACAACATATAGACTATAATTTATGACGATCTGTGACAAACTACATTTCACGCGGGTGAAGCCGCGGGCAAAAGCTACTTAGTTAATATTTACTCATTTACGCAACTGGTTTTAGTAAAATCTTCTAATTTTTACTTTAAATATTTGATATGACTTCTTCAAAATATGAGTTGTCCGGTTTTGGGTTCATTACCCAAATGATTTGTCCCTTGGTAGTTCAGATAGTTAAATAATAAAGTTGATTTCAGGCTTCGCATTAGAATATCAAGGTTTTAAACAAATTAATAAGACAGTGGGAACATGATTGCCACCATGTTCTCTTAAAGGTCACAAAAATAATAAAACAAATTAACTATGCCCGTAAAGGAGTGGAAGAACCAGACTATGGCGACTATTACGTCTGCATCAGTGACGCCCGTATTCACAAACGAGGCTTGCTAAGTGAAGCAGCAAATCGAACTCACAGCGTTGAATAGAGCTTTGTGTTTGGTTCGTGTGTCACTTTGTGCATGCACAGGGTGTTGATTTCAATCCTCGCCATATTTATTTAGGTGATACATCTCATCACCAAGTCGAGCAAAAAAGCGGCACGGCCGTACCATCCTTTTCTCGAAGCAATTCAGGCCATTTTCGACCGCCTGTAACTTCGTTGTGGATAAAACTAGAAGGCTGAATTTTCATTAGCTATGCAGGCATTGTAAAGACACGGTATATTTAAAATTTCATTCAATTTGAACCAGTAGTTTAAGAATTATAACGGGTCAAAGTTACTTAATTTTGTCACTCACTCACTCACTGACTCACTGACTCACTGACTCACCGATCATCAAAACTCTAAGGCACTTCTAGCAGACCTAGAAGCTTCAAATTTGGAATATAAGTAGTGTTTGGTGTATGAATCAAGGAAAAACTAAAATATTTGGGGGCACGGTAGTGCAACCGCCAAGTCGAGTAAAATTTTTCAATTTCGGTCCAGTTTTCTAGATACATAACTGCTGTCTACAAAATACAAAAAGAAATGAGATCCCATCAAAAACAATACTTGTCAAAAAAACCAAGTCTCGCAACTCAGTTGTTCTACGGTAAAAAGTTGTGAGATCCATGTAATACCAAGTCCAGGCCAGGAAATCTTTAACGTTTTACATAAATTATTGACTTGGCCATCGCACTAAATAATTTAATTTACACGTGTTTTCATGCGATGGCCAAGTCAATATATTTATGTAAAACGTTAAAGATTTCCTGGCCTGGACTTGGTATTACATGGATCTCACAACTTTTTACCGTAGAACAACTGAGTTGCGAGACTTGGTTTTTTTGACAAGTATTGTTTTTGATGGGATTATAACTTACATAAAGGCATTATCCACAAAAAAAATACAAACGTAAGTGGGATTTTTAGCGAATTATTTCCGTGCGACATCAACTGCACTGCAAATACTGCAATACGTTTACGCGGATCGCTCAGTTATCATGTCGGATAGCCTACTGAAGGAAGCCACGTAAAGTAGGTAGTGTAAATTGTTGTTTTTCTTTGACCAACTAAAGTTAAAGTTCGTTTTAATTTTTTTCGAAGTAAATTTTTTTACTGATTCATGATCAGAATAAGCTACTTAATCAACTCCCTAAATATGTCGAGAATTGAAATCAACACCCTGTATAGTTAAGTAGTAAGTAAGTATAGTAGTAGTTAGTTACCTTGAGTCCCCGCAGCACGGCGCCGGCGAGACGCGCTCCCGCAAACGCCATGGACAGAGTAGCGGAGCCACCGCCAGCCTTAGCCTTCACCACCTATAAACAAAAGGTATTTTAACAATCGGGTATACAATACATACGGTCTAAGGCAGGGCTACCCTAGCCCTAAACGTTTTTTAGTCTAGGCGCAGACCACCGATTTTTAAGGCTTCCACAGACCAAACGCGGGTCAGAAGCAGTGCGGATCAGTTGCAGCGCGGCTGAGGCACATTGAAAGCAGCGCATTTCAAAGCAATTGCAACGCGGGCGGTTATCAAAAATTTAAATATTCGAAAACCGCTTTCAACGCGCTGCTACCGCCCTGCCTCTGGTGTGTCAGCAATACAACAGCGCGGGCCCGCGTTCGCGCTAGTGATGGTCAACTCGAGTAAGTAACTCGAGTTAACTCGAGTTGGGCGTAACTCGAACCCACTCGAGTTGAATTCTCTCTGACTCGAGTTCGTATCGTAAACCGAATGGATCCGACATGGACCGAAGATTGCCGATCATTTGAGTGTTGAGACTATGTTCATTTGAAGTTAACTTTAAACTGCCGGTTATTGTTGTAGATTTTCGTGTTTTATGTTTTGTTTTTGAAAAATGCCAAGTGATAATAAATATAAATTTTTTTTAAATTAAAATTGAAGCCAAAAATCCATGAATAAATTATTATATTTCAAACAATAATTTTTTCTTTCTTACTTTAGTTAGTATGATTCTCCCAATACATTATAAATGATATTTTTTTAAATGTTAATACAAATCTGAGGGAATAAACTGGTAAAAATAAGCAAAAAAACTGACTTGTCCATCCAGTTAACTCGAGTTACGTAACTCGAGTTCAACCCGAGTTACGTGGATTTTAACTCGGGTTAAATCGAGTTTTGTTTTTCCCGAGTTGGCCCATCACTAGTTCGCGCCGCTTCTGTCCCGCTCCCGCGCCGCCTCGTTTGTCGTTCGGCAGTTGCAGTGCGGCGCGGTTGGAGCGCGGGCCCGCGTTCAAATTTGGTGTGGCATACTTCAAAGAGTTTCTTGTATTACAACTTGCGCGGGCCCGCATTCAAACTGCGCTGCTACTGCCCCGCGTTTAGTCTGTGGAAGCCTTTAGTTGGCCGATCGATGGGCCCGATTTTACTTTGTATGAAGAATCGGCCGATACCAAATCGGTGTAATGTGCGCACTTTCATACATGACCATACTGATCAATAGCCCGAACTAACTATCGGCTAACTAAAAATCGGTGTTCTGCGCCTAGGCTTACTGTGATGCCCTTGGAAGGTTCCCATTTTTTTGCAACGCACCCCCCGATCAATGAAATATAAAAAAATAATAATAACTTAAGAATGAAAATTGAAAGAAACATATTTTACTGTGTGGAATAGATACTAATCAAAGGATGAGCTGTCTGAGAAGAGCTTCTCAAGTTTAAAAAGTACCTAAACTGGTCAAACTGGTCGCGTCGTGTGTGGTCTCTCAACGGACGCTATGGCAGAAACTTAAAAGTAACTAGAAGTTGCAGTTTCGTTGCAGTTGCGTTTCACCGTGTGTTCTGGGCCTTACTCAAAATTTATTTTCGCGACGCACAGTTTGGCAGCCCCTGGCCTACAGGATATAGCTTCGTTGCAAAATAATTCCTATTGCAAACACTTAAAAGGTGCTAAACGTAGTGGCATCTTGTAGCTACAAACAATCGGGTAGTTATCCGTAATAAGATAAGATGTTTCGTGTATCGTCAACTGATACTACCACCGATCAATTCACAATATGAGTTTAAAAACGTATAACTTCCTGTAAATATTTTGTATAGCAAAGAGATGTATTGACGGCGTTATAGGTTGACGTTGGTGTCAACGCTCATTTATATTCATTAACGAAATTGGAACAATTTGGTTAGTTAATTGTTTACAAATGACCACTGGGCAGGTCATATTTTAAAAATTTACATTTCCTGGAAGTCATGGAAGAAACTACAGTCCATAGCACAGTACTCACAGTAGCTATACATTTCTGTACAGTCAGCGTCGAAATAGTTCGTCAATAAGTTCGCAACACGTCTTTGTTACAATTGGAATAAGGTTGTGTTGTCTTTTTGGCTACTTTGGGTGTGACGAACTATTTGACGCTGAATTAGGAGTGACCCCCGAGTGGCCCCCGATGACGGATCGGGGGTCCACTCCGTGTAAGAACTGTTACTAACAAAGTATCTTTAGGAACACTCACCTCAGTACCGGCTTCCTGGATCCTTCCCGTCAGCGCCTTAATCTGATCCTGGGACGTCAGTTTAACAGCTGGCTGGCTCTGGCTCAGTACAGGGATGATGGTGACCCCCGAGTGGCCCCCGATGACGGGGATGGAGACGGAGCGGGGGTCCACTCCGTTGATTTCTCCGATGAAGGCGGCCGCACGGACTACGTCGAGTGTGGTGACTCCGAGGATGCGATTAGGGTCGTAGCAACCGGCCTGGGAAGTTAAGTTTAGTTTAAATTGTTGTTTCTGTGGTTAAAAAGATTATTTATTTTGGAAAAGTTATACGGTAATGTTTTTATGTAGAGCAGTGGTTTTCAAACTTTTTCATGACACGACCCCCCCTAGCATGAAAAAATATTTCGCGACCCCCGACCACTTTTTTTTCATGCATTTTATAATGTTCCAAAGATGTTGTAGGGACCGAATACTTCAATCCATACAACATTTACGCAGTTTCATAATTAGATTTCTGATAATAATATCTTTAAAACTTTACTGTTTTTTTTTTACTGAGTTAGTTTTTACGACCTCTCGCGACCCCCCTACAAAGGCTTCGCGACCCCTCGGGGGGTCGCGACCCACAGGTTGAAAAACACTGATGTAGAGCAACACTGCATTACCCTCGAATGAGAATCCACAGAGCAAATTATGTCCATTTAGAAAAACGTTTATACGTACTACGTAGGTAGGTTCTTGACCCTAAAGCCTAAACATTACCATATCGAGCATACTGGCAAGAACTATTAGTTTGATGACGTCACGCCACCGATGCGGTTTAAAAAGACCGGATATTGGTGGTGGGATCTTTTGAGATAGGGGCAGTTGGTCATTAGTTCTAGTACGACTAACTTTAACGTCAGGTGTTTGTAATTTGAAACAATTCGTAAACAAGACAGTAGAGAGTAGAGTACTCTTCTAGAATTCATTGTTGTTATGTCTAGTTATGTTAGATATCAGTCAGACAATCGCCTTATAAAGATAATCTATACAGATATCATTTAGCTGATGATTTATGGTTGGATAATAAATCATGATAGGCATCTTACTCGTATAAATAGCAATGGTCTCGTAACATATATTCTATGTAGTAAATAAGTTATTTTCATTCACTCTAATAAAGAGGTTGTAAAACCCTACAACATCTTTGTAACATTATAAAATGCATGAACAAAAAAAAGCAAATGGTCGGGGGGTCGCAAAAGATTTTTTCATGGAGGGTCGTGCATGAAAAAGGTTGAAAAACACTGGTGTAGTATATTAATTTGTATCTTGAAAATATAAACATACAACCTGTGAAATCTCCGGCTCTGTAAAGAGAGTCTACCCTATTATTCTCTATTGCATTGACGTCAATAAATGATGATGAAAGCTTATCGTATAAGTTTACTATAAACAAGAATATTGTTCGTACTGATAACGCTAAATTGCGTAATTGATCTATTTACGATCACTGTATGGATGAACCTTTCTTTTGTCACCAAGCACGCGTGTTGTGCGTGCAACTTATTATTGNACCGCTCGGTTTTTGCATGCCCTATTGTACATACATTTCCTTAAAGACTTAAATAAAAATATAACTTTTCGTCATGATCTTAGACTTCACAAAGTCTACGCAAACTTATTTAGCTACAGTGTTTTTTCAAGTTTATGTAAAAAGGGGTCAAATAATACAAAAGCTGTAGGTAACACAGTTTATTACCACATACACAATCACGTGTTAAACATAACATCAAATATTTACAACAACCATCCATCATATACCGGCCGGGCAACTTTGGTACTGGCAAATCAGATGAACAATATATACTTAACAATTTAATAAATAAAATGCAAATAAATTAATAACTTTGTTGGTAGGTTTCCTAAAATAGGCATGATTTAATCACTATAAACTCTTACACTATTTATGCTTAGTTAAAGTGCAACTATAATAAAAAAGGATTCAGTTAAAAATGGATCTATAAAATTGATCTAAAATCACTATTCATTCACCTACATACCAGTCGCTACCATCTGCAAGATGCTAAGTAAAAGTTGTTCTTACAACTTTGTTAGCTTATTTCTTACGTTAACCTTAGTTGATAAATACTATGTATTGCTTGTAATACTCTTTACTTGCTGTTTTTGACGAATTCCTCGCCGACCTTGATGTTCTTGAGGAGTTCAGGGATGGCAGCCTTGAGGAGTTCCTTCTCGTAGGCGTTGAGGGTTCCGAAGCCGAGGTTCTTCTCCACTCCGTTCTTGCCGAGAACTACGGGGTTGGCGAAGTAGGGAGATTCGGTGATATCGGACTTGATGTACGCGCATTCCACTACGTTCGATTCTCCCTGGAACAAATGGGTTTTTGTAATACACAGTTTTCCCACGTTTGTTAGTGCAGTATTTATTTAATGGAATTTTTTTTGGTAAACATAGTAAAATTTCACACTATGTTAGTGCAATAGTTACAAAATAAAAAGTTGGATAAGATAGGCATTCTGAAAGAGCAGTAGTTGTGTAAATTAGTTAATATTTACTACGCCCGTAAAGGAGTTGAAGAACCAGACTATGGCGACATATTGGCTGCGTTTGGCAGAAAATATCGTTTATAGATGACCCACGCTGAACTGTACCACCAAACTCAATGACAGGGGGGCGCTATCATCGTTCAACCATAAGGTTTCCAACATGGCAAAAATCGGAACCAGCGATCCGGTATTGACGGTGGCGCCCCGCTGTCAATGTCATGCATAGGACAGTTCAGTATTTTGGAACTATAATAGAAATTGTGACAACCGCCGAAACTTGTTTTCGGCTATAGTCTTTTTCACCTATAGATGACCCACGCTGAACTGTCCCGCCAAACTCAATGACAGGGGGGCGCTACCATCGTTCAAGTATATGGTTTCCAACATGGCAAAAATCTGAACCAGCGATCCGGTATTGACGGTGGCGCCCCACTGTCAATGTCATCGACAGGACAGTCCAGTATTTTGGAACTATAAGATGATCCGTATGACGTTTCGAGTTTGAAAGATTTAGAGATGTCACATAACTAAACCATAGCGATTTATCTATCGATTTTTTTCGAAGAGTTAGTAAAACCTACTTTTAGAGAAATATTTTGTATAGGTGTTATTTAACAAAAAACATGTTTTTTTTAATTACAAATATTATTGCAACAATTTTTTATTGATAATATTCAAATTTCATGGTTCGTGTTCTAAAAAACGATTCCTAAAAAGTACTGGTTCTGTTTCTTTAAATTAAAAACTATTAATTTATTTTCAATGCGATTATTAAAGTCAATAATCGAAAAATATAGTTGATTTTTATGATGTTTTTAATAACTAAGTATTCACTGCAATCGATTAATGAACCGCGGAAATAATAGATTTTATCATACAAGAAATACCCCAGCACTAAATCTATTCCGTTTCACACATTGTGTACATTAAATAAAAAATATTTTTACATCGCATTTAATTAAAATATAATCAATAGACTCAGATTTTACTATATATTTCAAGACAAGTAGTTAATTTACTTTTATTATATTGCTAATAAAATACAAATATTTTTTCATAAATATTCTGCATAATATGTAGTATGCGTAATATGGATAACCTTGAAGTGTCATACGGATCATCTTACGTGAAAAAGACTATAGGACACGTTTGCTAAACTTCAAAAGTGACGTTTTCCCATACATTTTTTTACCGCTAAAAAGACGTCATATTACAGTAGCTAGTGCTATTTTCTGCCAAACACCCCCATTATGTCTGCATCAGTAAGTATTAGTAGTATGTAGTTAGTTACCTTGAGTCCCCGCAGCACGGCGCCGGCGAGACGCGCGCCCGCGAACGCCATGGACAGAGTAGCGGAGCCACCGCCAGCCTTAGCCTTCACCACCTATAGACAGATACGGGTATTTTAATAATCAGATATATGTACTGTTTAGTTTAGCGTATACATACACACTAGTCCGCGACATTAGAAAGAGGCAATTTTTGCAACAAACAAAGATGGATAACATTAATTCCAAGCTATCTATCGACGTTGAAGTGACTATACCTCCTAACTGCATTAACTTTTTTGGTTTACAGGAGGTAGAAAAAAATACGTTAATATGTTAATATTAAAAAGAAATATCAGTTAGGAGAAAAATTTCCAATGGAAAAAGTCCACGCGAATTTAAATTTTAAGATAATAAATCGATTTCTTAAAAAAAATAGTTAGGATTAATTTTCACTTCAACGTCGCTATGTATCACTCTTTGAGTAGATTTTTATCATGATGCATTACAAAATAGTTCATGATTCAAGTCTGTGATTGTTTCAATTTCAATATTTAAACAATTTGAGGGTAAAGATTCAAACATGTGCAATTTGTGCAAAGGATGCTTCAACAATGAGATATTAAACAGTCTATAGTACATTCCTTTTTGTTGCCAAATAGCTCATATTACAATAACTACTTAAAATACCAGTGTAGTGCTGTTCAATCAATCGGTTTGACACCACCAATCAATTTACGTGTTTTTGAGCTGAAAAGGCGAACCTTGCACTCATTTTGTATTCATTCATTTATATTCATTAATTACATTGGAGTTACTTTGGTTTTATTTAAGTAAATTGTTTAAAAATTATCATTGGAGGTCATAGTAAATTTTCTCAGCGAAAACATTCACAAACAACAGTCGACAGCACATTAGATATCATTTCTGTACCAAAATGTGCAAGTATTGTAAACTGTATACTGTAATAATTTAATATGTTGGGCCAAATAAAATATTTTCTTTCTTTCTTTCTTTCACAAAATCGTACCGCGTCGTCGTAAGATGCCACAGCATTTGGCCTGATGTACAGACAACGGCTCGTCAAGCTAAACCATCATGTAAAGCGAGGTCGCCGAGCACGTAGAATTTAGTCCATTGATCCCAACTCTCGCTCGCACACTAACTGCGGGCGCCCGTCGCACAGTCGCGACAGCAATATAATTACGCGCGAGCGATAAGGATGGGTAGCTTGGGGTCATTGGACGAAATTCTACGAGCTCGGCGACCGGACTATAGTTGTAATACGCGCGATTTTGTTACAAAAGTGAAAAAATGATGAGATCTTTCATCTGTCTGGGCTGGTTGAACTCACCTCAGTACCGGCTTCCTGGATCCTTCCCGTCAGCGCCTTAATCTGATCCTGAGACGTCAATTTGACAGCTGGCTGGCTCTGGCTCAGTACAGGGATGATGGTGACCCCCGAGTGGCCCCCGATGACGGGGATGGAGACGGAGCGGGGGTCCACGCCGTTGATCTCTCCGATGAAGGCGGCCGCACGGACCACGTCGAGGGTGGTGACTCCGAGAATGCGGTTGGGGTCGTAGCAACCGGCCTGGGAAGTTAAGTTTAGTTTAAAATACTGTTTCTGTGGTTAAAATGATTATTTATTTATTGGAAAAGTATGTAGAGCAACACTGCCTTACCGTCGAATGCCTATTTCACAGTTTATATGGTACTTTTTGACCTTGACCCTAAACATTATCATATAGTGCATTGGTTCCCAAAGTTTAAAGGGGGGCGCAGGCCATCTGTATGAAACCTGCGACCGCTGAGAGAATGCATTCCAGACTGCTCGATACGACCAATAAATAATCTTGACTGGAGGAGGATTTCTTTGTATGGTCGAAAGGGGGCGCATGTATAGTGCATACTGGCAAGAACTAGTTCGATGACGTCACGCCACCGATGCGGTTTAAAAAGACCGGATATTGGTGGTGGGGCGGCGTAGAAGTGGCAAAGGCCAAAGGTAATCTTTTGAGATAGGGGCAGTTGGTCATTAGTTCTAGTATGACTAATTTTAACGTCAGGTGTTTGTAATTTGAAACAATTCGTAAACGAGACAGTAGAGAGTAGAGTACTCTTCTATAATTCATTGTTGTTATGACTGGTTATGTTAGATATCAGTCAGACAATCGCCTTATAAAGATAATCTATACAGATATCATTTAGCTGATGATTTATGGTTGGATAATAAATCATGATAGGCATCTTACTCGTGTAAATAGCAATGATCTCGTAACACATATTCTATGTAGTAAATAGTTATTTTCAGTCACTATAATTTATAATAGTATTATGTAAAGTAGACCAATGACTGTAAGCAATCGATAATGCAAAATTTGATCAGAACACATGGCAACTGGTAATTCTGTATATCTATACTAGTCTATACTAATATTATAAATGCGAAAGTAACTCTGTCTGTCTGTCTCGCTTTTACGCCTAAACCACTGATACGATTTTGATGAAAGGCATAGAGATAGTTTGAGTACCAGGAAAGGACATAGGATAATTTTATTCCGGTTTTTGAAACAGGGACGCGCGCGATAAAGTTTTTCTGTGACAGACAAAATTACACGCGGGCGAAGCCGCGGGCGGAAAGCTAGTATTCAATGTGTAGTATATTAATTTGTATCTTGAAAATAACAACTACAACCTGTGAAATCTCCGGCTTTGTAAAGAGAGTCTACCATATTATTCTCTATTGCATTGACGTCAATAAAGCGATGATGAAAGCTTATCTATAAGTTTACTATAAACAAGAATATTGTTCGTACTGATAACGCTAAATTGCGTAATTGATCTATTTACGATCAATGTATGGATGAACCTTTCTTTTGTCACCAAGCACGCGTGTTGTGCGTGCAACTTATTATTAAAAGCACTTAACGTATTTGCGCATTGTTTTGCAAGCTGGTTTATTGACTATAGTTTTATCTAGAACATAAATTACTGACTCAAATCATGTTTTGACTATAATGTTTTATGAGGAAAGAAAGTAGATTTAGCATAGGTACTAATTAATAACTAGCTATATGGTGAGCTTTTTACCACCATAAAAAATTCTATATTCTACGTTTATCAGGGACAATGTAGTAATGGTGAAAGAATTTTGTAAATTAGTCTAGTAGTTTCGGAGCTTATTCAACACAAACAATCAAAACTTTCAATCAAAGTTTTTTAATATTAATGTAGATAGATTCTTTGCCTAGTATTTATTTTATACTTTAAGCTTTATCCAGTTTGATCCATGCTCTTGTTAAACCATTTTAGACACATAGTTAGCACAAGTAATAACTATGGCTGGGTTGCACCATCTTATTTTAACTTTAACAAACATTAAAAATCTGTTAAACTTCATACAAAACACTGGTTTTCATTATAGTTACAGTTAAAGTTAGATGGTGCAATTCAACCTAAAACTCCATACAAAAAACACCGGTTATCATTAAAGTTACGGTGAAAGTTATATGATGCAACTCAGCCTAAGATATCTTACCTTCTTGAGGACCTCCGAAGCGATGGGCACCATTGAGTTGACGGGGTTGGTGATGATGGCCATGATGGCTTTGGGCGAGTTCTGTGCCACACACTTGGCCAGGTCGCGGACGATGGAGGCGTTGGTGTTGAACAGGTCATCACGGGTCATGCCGGGCTTGCGGGGCACTCCGGCAGGGATGACTACCAGGTCAGCGCCTGGAGATACGAAAATTTATTAACATAATTCAAATTCAAATATTTTATTCAGTACATAGGCCCTTTCCAGGGCACTTATACACGTCCCAAATATACATAGCTTGCCCTACCACCATTGGAGGATATACATATACCATAGGAGTGTGCAATGCACTTGAGCCATTCAACAACATGGCAAAGGGTAATAAGATATTTTTTATAAATGAACTATCTTTTTGCCTTATAGTAAAATGTGTATTGTGCAACTTGTGGTCATGATTAAGGAAATAAAATAAAGAAATATTTAATTTACAGCACAACAGACTGCATAATTATTGCAAAGGAGCCCCTGAGGCTGCTACATAAAAGGGTGAAGTACAATAAAAGGAAAACTTTCAATTTTAATGCACATTCTTGGGAAGTAACATAAGATTTTAAGTGTAACTAAAGATAATAGGCTGGGTTGCAACACCTAACACAATAACCGGTGTTTTTGAATGGTTTGATAGATTTTTAATGTTTAGTAAAGTTAAAGTAAGGTGCTACTCTAGGCTGAGTAGCACTGAGTAGTTTATTAAATAAAAAATTGCAAATGTTCAAAGTACATTATACAACACACATGCTAGGTTGGTGTTGACAATTCCAACTAGATACTTGTCCTACATTCAGTTACAATGCCAAGGTCAGCAAAATTGTTTGGGTTTGTTGAAGTTTGGACGGAAACCTCTACAGTAATACAAATAACACAAAATTGATTTAGGAGTGACTCAAAGATTACATAAAGATAGTAGATATCAATATTTAAGGAATCACATCCATAATTTTGTCAACTAACTAGAGGTTATAGCATGTTACATAACAATATTTTTTGCGACAAAATTGCGGGAAAAGTTTTCTGTAACTTTCTTTACCTTTAATGGCTTCGGCGAGCTCCTCAGGCCCCTTGTGGCCAGTGACCTTGGCCGGGGTGTCCATGTGAGAAAGGTCCACGGCAACGCCGGGCGTCACTGGGGCCAGGTCGTACAGGGCCAGCCTGGTCACCAGGGGGTTCTGCTTGAGCAGGAGCGCCAGGGGCTGGCCGATACCCCCGGCGGCACCAGCCACCGCCACTTTGAAATTTTTCTGAAAACCACCACATAATTTGTACCACACTCCTCACGTACACCGTACATAGCTGTTCTCAGTACCACTTGTGATTTCTAGCTTGAAGCCTGAACCTGGAAGTTGGAACCACGATGATTTAAACCTTGGACAGGTACTCACTTGAGAGGTTGTGGAGAAATTCTTGGCGCCATTCTGGGCGGCGACCGAAGCCACGGGTTTCAGGGCGCGGGAGAACATCTTTAGGTTTGATATTAGTGGAAGTATCCGATTCTAAATGAAATTATTGGATAAACTTCCAACTGACCCTGCCGACCTTTTGTAGATAATAGCCAGTGATGTGCTACAATCGTGTATGTATGACACGACACTACGTCATCATTGCTGTCAAATAACTTAGTCGATTGTAATCGAATACATAGTCGAAGTCGATTATTATGTGATTATTTGAGATAATAGAACATTTACCGCCTTATTTACTGGGCACTTCAAAAATGTTTTGTAACTAAACTAAAACAAAACTAAAAGTGTACTTGTAAGCATTTAATTTTATGTAATATTTTAAAAACATTTTTGAAGTGCGCGGTAAATACGGTAAATAAGGTGGTAAAGGATCTACTCAAATAATCACAGAATAATCGACTATGTATTCGATTAAAATAAATAACCGAATAAATAATTAAAAAGTAGTGTGAAAGCAGCGAAAATAGTTGGTCAAGTTGGCTTACAAAACACTGTGGACACGGAGAGCGGAATGAGGGAACATGTTCATGGCCCACTGCCCACACCATAGAGAAAAGTAATACATAGGAAACCCACACTATGCCCACTTTGCCCACACCTCAGCTCACTTCATAATCATTTGTTGGACCGAAAAGTTCTTCTTCTTCTTCTTTGGTTTATGGCGATGAACTTGCGTTTTTTTGCGACCGAAAAGTTAATATAGCGGTAAAATAAGCTCACTGACAGTTTTTGAGTTTGACACACGAATTTGGGGTGTATGGTGTATCTGTCAAGTTTACTTTCGATATTTTTGTTTGTAAAATTGAATTTTTAGGTAATAAAATACACAAAAACTAACAAAATGAATGTGATACAAGCAGTTAAAATGTATATAACAAAAATGACGGAGGAGAGTGGCCCCGGAATGAAAGTAATACTTATGGACAAGGAGACTGTAAGTTTTCTAATATTTTCAAAATAATTTCATGCTTAGCTGCCCTTAGCTTAAATATTTTACTTTAGGTATTAAAATTTCCATGACTAATGCACATATTAATTGCCATATTCAGTAATTGAAACAACAGAGTTGGAATAAATTGTAGACTGACTTCTGAAATTACTGAAATCATTTTAAAATTATGCGATTGATCTTTAGTGTCTATTTATTAATTTCAGACCAGTATAATAAGCATGGTATTCAGCCAATCGGAGATTCTCCAGAAGGAGGTATATCTTTTCGAACGTATCGACAATATCAGCAAATGGGACAACATGAAGCACATGAAATGCATTGTGTTTGTGCGACCGACCTCCGAGAATGTAGCTCTGCTGTCCAGAGAGCTGAGGCATCCAAAATATGGGGTTTATTTTATATGTAAGTTTTACATTTTATTCATTCAAGAATATAACCAGTGTTTTTTCTGTTCTTTTTGTTATGCATGTATTGACTATTATGAAATGAATATATTCAGATTCAGATTTATAAGAAAAAAAGAAACAAAATATGCAAACTGGGAAAAGTGAAATTAATCTATTTATCTTTTTTTCTATGTTGGATAATGGTGTTTCAGACTTCAGTAACGTGATCTCCAAGTCAGACGTGAAGACGTTGGCGGAGTGTGACGAGCAGGAGACAGTGCGTGAGGTGCACGAAGTGTTTGCGGACTACCTGGCCGTGGATCAGCATTTGTTCTCGTTCAATATCGTTGGCTGTATGAATGGTAAGATTTAAAACTTCATAGGAATTCTTAGAAGCAAAGTAGTTTTTTAATTCTTGGCAATGTTTCAATTTCAATCAATCAAATCAAAATTTCAATCAGAGCAAACCTTTATAATTTAAAAATTTTAAAGAACTGCATTTTTGTCAGAATCAATTTCTTTTAACATACTCAGCATTTTTTATTCCAAGTTGCTTCTGTCCTTTCTGCTATAAAGGAGTGGGCAGCTAAACTCCTGTCCTCCCTCGGCATGCCCATGATGAATGAAATGAAAAAAGAAACCATGGTCCATGAAACCAGGTCATTCCTGAAACCGACTACCTAGCTGTGATAGGCTTGCTAGCCTTGCTGCTATTGATTGATTGTTTTCCATTTCTATCTAAAGCCCAGTCTGTGAGCACGTAGAATTTTGTCCAATGACCCCAAGCTACCCATCCTTATCGCTCGCGCGTAATTATGTTGATATCGCGCTCGCACACTCACTGCGGGCGCCCGTCGCACTGTCGCGACAGCAATATAATTACGCGCGAGCAATAAGGATGGGAAGCTTGGGGTCATTGGACAAAATTCTACGTGCTCACAGACCAGACTATATCTATGTTTCTGAAATATAGTCTTCCATTCTATCTATCTATCCAACCTTCCAGGTCGTTCCTGGAACCAGAACCACCTCCAGCGCTGTTCTCAAGGCCTCCTAGCGCTTCTACTCTCTCTCAAGCGTCGTGCTGTCATCCGCTACGACGCCGCATCAGACGGCTGTGCTCGTCTAGCGGAGAGACTTAGAGACCTGCTGCGGAGGGAGGCAGCGTTGATAGATAATAACGTGCCGGTCACCGGAGACGTGCCTACGCCTATCGTGCTGATATTGGATAGGATGGATGACCCGGTCACTCCATTGTTGAACCAGGTATGGAAATAAGGGTAAAAGACTGGTTGACGAAACCCCATACAAAAGAAATGACGAATTTTAGTGGATAGACAATGTCAGTCAGATGATATACTTTTTATGAGCTGTGAAAGGTGATCCTACTAGATATTTTTTGTATTGACGAGCAAGACGAGATGACGTCACTTTTTGCCTATTTATTGATTTAGTTATTGACTTATATGCTACTAAAAATCTTATTTTACACTCAATTGAGTTTTCAGGGCTAGAATTTTGTGTTGGAATTTTCACAAAGTATTGGGTATTGGAAGCTGTGTAAGCTTTGAAAAGGAGACAATAAGTAAATGAATTTATTTCCAGTGCTTGAGTTACTGAATCCCTAATAATCTAGTGTGTTTGTATATGTTACGGTCAAAGTGATAAATGTGAAAATTATGAATAATCGCCGGTTATTATAAATAATTACCGCATGATTTGGTAAATGTGATTAATATGAGGTCATTTATGTGTGTATAAAACTAAATAGGCGGCTTAGCTAAATAGCCCGCCGCACCTTAACCTATTTTTCACTTTAAATCAAAACATTATGTTATAGGCATCATGGAAAAGTAATATTATGCAAGAAACATTCCAAACTCATTATGCAAAATTATATTAATATATGATATCAAAACGTTCAAAAGTTTGGCTGAACACGAGCACGTACACAAGATGTTGTTCTCTTTTATGAAATTTGTTAGTACTAAGGTTGAATTATATTAAATAATCACTGTTAAATGTGATTAATTTATCACTTTAACCGCGACTGTCGGTAATTATTCATAATAACCGGTTATTATTAATAATTTTCAATTTATCACATTAAGCGTAACATATACACTGTATCCCAAAATTCAGTGCTAAGCTTAATTTACGAAAAATAAAAAAAATGAATCTTTAAATTTTTTTCTTATTTTTCCTAAAGTATTCATGACCACGTCCACCCTACGCGCCGGCCTATCGTTGAATTTTGGGACAGTATGTATATAAATGTTCGTTTCCAGTGGACATAGTCATTTGTCAGGCTTCCACAACAACCATGCGAAGGTGTAATCTCTCTTATCCCCAGTGGACGTACCAGGCGATGGTGCACGAACTACTAGGGCTCCATAACAACCGCGTGAGCCTGCCGCAAGCACAGCAGGACCTGCGCGAGGTCGTGCTAGCTTCGGAGCAGGACGAGTTCTATGCTAAGGTGGGTTACATTTACATTGTCTGTTTAGGTGTTTATTCTTTACACATACTATTTGCAACAGTTCCAGCTACCCATTCCCGGTCATGTCGTCTCGTTCTATCAAAGAATCACCATTTGATGAGAGCGAGAGAAAAATGGAAATTAGCTGGAACTGTGACTCGGAGAAAAAAGAACTCATTTACGCACGCATACGTACACTAAATTCTGATTCTGTCAAACGGTAAACAGTATTTTGGCACACATGCCAGCAAAAAAAAAGTAACTTTTTTTATATTCTTCTGCTGGATGCAGGCTGTTACCAAGTCTACCAACCGGCCTTTTTGGAAATCATTGGAGAAGGCCTATGTTCGGTAGTGGACGTCCTACGGCTGAAATGGTGATGAAGAATAATATTCTAAGGCCTAAATAAAGAAAAATACTGTCTACAGACAGAAACTGAATCTACATGCTGCGTCTGACCGCCTAAATTGAGTCGTTTTAATCTTACTAATATTATAAATGCGAAAGTTTGTATGGATGTCTGGATGTGAACATGTTTGTTACTCTTTCACGCAAAAACTACTGAACGGATTTTGATGAAACTTTACAGTATTATTGTTTATAACCCAAATTAACATATAGGCTATAATTTATGATGATCAGTTAAAAAGTAAATTTCACGCGGGTGAAGCCGCGGGCAAAAGCTAGTATGCAATATTTTTATGTGATATGTAATAAAAAATATCTCTCTACCTTGATTTCTTTGAAGGGTAATTTGTACTCGTATCTAAAAAATATTTTTACAACAGAACCTGTACTCCAACTTCGGCGAGATCGGGCAGACGATGAAGTTGTTAATGGACGAGTTCCAGAAGAAAGCCAAGAGCCACCAGAAGGTCGAGACCATCGACGACATGAAGAACTTCGTCGAGCAGTACCCGCTGTTCAAGGTGAGCCACTAAGTACATAATTTACAAGTAAATGAAGCACATTTTCAGTTGTACGGACGGACGACGATAAATCGAGCCGGAAATACAAATACACATGTTTTAGTTGGGCATGGCAATTCAAGCTAATTAATGGCTATACTTTACTGAAATGGCGGCACAGGCTGAGACGCGAGTAGAAGCTAGTATTTTTAGCATAGGCCCAGACCACCAACTGAAAAAATATGAAAGTGCGCACATTATACCGATTTGGTATCGGCCGATTGTTCGTTCGTTCGTTCGTTTCAGCCAAATGACGTCCACTGCTGGACAAAGCCAGCCGGAGTAGTATCCAGGCTCTTCCCGCGACCTTTACGAGATCGTCGGTCCACCTAGTAGGAGGCCTGCCCACGCTACGTCTTCCAGCCCGTGGTCGCCACTGAAGAACTTTTCTGCCCCAACGGCCATCGTCTCTACGAGCTATCGGCCGATTGTTCATAGAAATTAAAATCCCACCAAAAACATTCTGTAAAAAACTAGCCAAGTCTCGATGGAGCTGCTTGTTTATCTCTAAAAAGTAATGAAATCTAGACAAAGTCGTGCCAAGTCTATGGTTCCTTACTGCGATTTCTTTATTATTATAGTTAATGTTGTGTGACTTGGCCGTTGAAGGGTACAAAACCAGGTAATCCATGACACCATTGCACCAATCTGTCGTCGTCATTTTTTACGATATTAAACACAAATAAACTCAACGACCTTTAAAATGGTCAACGAATCAGAATTGTTTTAATAACATAACCTTAGCGAACCTTACAATATAATAAACGAAATCAACGAAATGCAAATTACACAACATTCAACTTAATCGACGGGGGGCTCTAGAAAGGAAAAAAATCTGGACACCGCTTGCTAGTGCTAGCGCCATCTAACGGTGAGCGATACAGGCGAATACCACGGGGNAGAAATTTATAACGAAACTGACATTAATAAAAGTTTCAATAAATTTCATGAATTATTCACGCTTCTCTATAAACTTTGTTTTCCAAAAATTAAAATAAACGTTGACTTATTAAAAAGATATAAAAACAATTGGGTGACTAATGGATTGAAACTGAGTTGCAGAAAGAAACGGAAACTACGATATAACTATTACAACAATAAAACACAACATAATNCCCCAGATGGAGCCCAAATATCGGCCAACTAAAAGTCGGTGGTCTGCGCCTAGTCTTACTTGATGTAAACTTACTGCATAAGTGTCTAGTAAAATTAAGATTTTCCTGTATTTAGCTCGTATTTTTTGTGTGGTCTTATTAAATTAATCCTCCAATTCTAGATCCTAATGATTTGTTAACAGTTTTGTGCAAATCAAACGAATCATCATCATCATCAACAGCCCTTTACAGTCCACTGCTGGACTATGAGCCTTCTACACTATAGTGGAGGGTTTTGCCATAATCTCCACGCTTGGCAGGCGGGTTGGAGATCGCAGTTTAAAAGATTGATGTTTGTCAGAGAGCGCTGCTGCCCATTCTCTGTTTGATGTGTAGTCTCTAAGTCGCCTCTTACGACACCCGCGGGAAGAGTAGGGACATCAAACGAATATTCAAAGAAAAATAGGGGTCACAACGATTAACGAATATGGTATTTTCAGAAAATGTCGGGCACAGTGACGCGCCACGTGACAGTGGTAGGCGAGCTGTCGGCGCTGGTGGCACGACACAACCTGCTAGACGTTTCTGAGTTGGAGCAAGAAATCGCCTGCCAGAGCGACCACGCCAAGCATCTGCAGGTCAGTGTGGATCTATCTTTACTTCCTCCAGGACTCAATGTGGATCCGCCTTAAACTGGACTCTTGGGACTAGCTTAGTTCATAGCAAGCATGAGGGTTCATTGGGGACAGTAGAGACAGTGACGTCACAATGTCGTTAAAATGGGGTTAGTGACGTCACATTAAGGACAGTGACGTCACAGTGGTGGGCGAGCTGGTGGAGCGACACAACCTGTTAGACGTTTCTGAGTTGGAGCAAGAAATTGCCTGCCAGAGCGACCACGCCAAGCATTTACAGGTTAGTTTGGATCCAGGAATCCATCAGCAGGAATCCAGGATTAAACTGGGCTTTTGGGTCTAGCTTAGTTCATTCATAGCGAGCATGAGTGTTTCGACATCGGGTAAAGTGACGTCACAATGTCGACTTAGCGTTGGGCGAGCTATGGGGATAGTGAAGGCACAGTAGTGGACCAGCTTTGGGTCCAATAAATGTCCTCTGGGTCTTTTGAACTAATTTATCCTTTGTTATTAGATTGGCGGTCATGTTTTAGATACTGGCTATACAGGAATGGTGGGTAATAGACACTATCAGTCTTTGAACGTTTTATTCACTCATAGAGATGAAAAATGACCCCAATCGACTACCTTATGAGTCGGCCGTTCGGTGTAGTGGTTCGAAACGAACTACTATTCCGGAGGTAGCGGGTTCGATTCCCGCACAGTGCAAACATTTGTGTGCATGAACATATTTGTTTGTATTGGACTGGGTGTTTTCTATGTATAATAAGTATGTATTTACAAAAAAAAAAGTATTTAAGTATATTTATATCCGTTGTCTAGTACCCATAGTACAAGCTTTGCTTAGTTTGGGACTAGAAGCGCAGTGTAAAATGTCTAAGGTTATTTATTATTATTATTATTTATTATATGATAATTCAATACTAACACCTTCAATACTAAAACTGGTATAGCTAATTATTTTATTTTTTGCGAGTTTAGTGTGATTAATATTTATGTATCTATCGACAGCGAATCAAGGCGCTCATCGCCAACGAATCGGTTCGTCACCACGACGCGCTCAAGCTCGTACTTCTCTATGCGCTGCGATACCACACACACGCAAGCAACGCGCTACCGTCACTGCTGCAAGCGCTAGCAGCCCGCCAGTGCCCCGAGCCCAAGTGAGTGACGCGCTACAGGACGCGACGCGACGCTACAGGACGCGACGCGACGCTACAGGACGCGACGCGACGCTACAGGGAGCGACGCGCTACCGTCACTGCTGCAAGCGCTAGCAGCCCGCCAGTGCCCCGAGCCCAAGTGAGTGACGCGCTACAGGACGCGACGCGACGCGACGCTACAGGACGCGACGCGACGCTACAGGGAGCGACGCGCTACCGTCACTGCTGCAGTCGCTAGCAGCCCGCCAGTGCCCCGAGCCCAAGTGAGTGACGCGCTACAGGACGCGACGCGACGCTACAGGACGCGACGCGGCGCTACAGGCCGTGAAGCGATACTTCAGGACGATACAGGAAACAAATTTAACTTGTTTAACTCTCACTGCGTAACTCTTTCACAACAGTTATCTACACTAACATTAAAAAGAGGACATTTGATTATTTGTTTGTATTGAAGACTCAGAAACTTTGGACCGATTTGAATATTCTTCCACGATTAGAATCTTATAATGTGAGATTCCAATATTATAAATGCGAAAGTTTGTGTGGATGTCTGGATTGTTTTTACTCTTTCACGCAAAAACTACAGAACGGATTTTGATGAAACTTTACAGTATTATTGTTTATAACCCAGAATAACATAGGCTATAATTTATGACGATCTGTGACACTAAATTTCACGCGGGTGAAGCAGCGGGAACAAGAGCGAGCCGTAGCTTGAGATGGAGCCGCGGACGAATGTCCATAATTATGGTGCGTCCAGACTGGGCGAACGCGCTCGCGCGGCAAACTCGACATCCTGCTCACTCAAGAGCAGGGTGAGCAGGATGACCAGCGTGCCGCGCGAGCTCGTTCGCCAAGGCTGGACGCACCATTAGAACATTAATTCGCGGTTTCGTTTCAATGACAGTCCCACATAACCCACTGATTGTCCCCATCGGCCAGTGGGTATGCGCATTTCCTATCGCAAAAAAAGGAGTCTATAATACTAGTGTTGTGTCCAGGCGCGTGCTGCTGGCGCTGGAGCTGTGGGCGGCGCGCGCGCGCAGCGAGCGGCTGTTCCGCGCCATGACGCCGCACTCCATCACCAAGCGGCTGTTCCAGGTCTTTTTTTTTTTTTTTTTGGGATGGACTGTCCCGCTGAAGCGCGCAGGGCGCCACGGTCTTCATGCTTTAATTTTAAATGGTAGGCATGATGACAGATCCTGAAATTTTAAGTATTGATTATTATAACAAAGTACAGATAAAATAGGATAATTTGTAAACTTTTAGTTTATTAAGTTGGGTGAGTAAGTCCATTACAGTTTCAAAAATAAAAACAAAAATACCATAAAAAACCCACACAATTGACATTTATAAATTGTGTGGGCTTTTTATGGTATTTCTATGGTATATACTAGAGATGAAACGGATATCCGGTAACTATCCGGTAGGCCGGATATCCGGCCTAAATTTACTATCCGGCCGGATACCGGATAGTAACTCACTATCCGGCCGGATACCGGATATTAAAAAACTACAACAATTTCCTAATTAATAAAATGAAATACATTAATCTTTAAGCTAAACATTAATAAAATGGCTTATAATAATGACGGCTTTTATTTAAAGTCCAAAAAGTCACAAAAAGTCATATTAAGGCCTTTAACAAAATATTCTTTTTCTGGACTATTCACTCTAATGACGAATACATACATAGTAAATATCTGATAAGTCGAAATATTGCCAAATAAAATAGGCGATCTTTTTTTCACTGATGGTCTGATGTTATGATGCAGTTTAGTCAGATTACACCACATTCACGATGGCAACCGAAANTCCAGGTCGGTTGGCAATCACTGCATGATTTATTACTACGCTATTTTATGTACGTGACACCCAGTGCCCAAAATTGACAACACAACCATATTCCAATGACTGTTTTCGCGAATGACAAATCCGTCAGATGGCAATAAGTAGACGCTAGGTCCAAATGCTGCATGATTGGTTATTTTTGACATGACATTGACAGATATGTCAAAATCCACCAATCACGCAGCAGTCAGACCCCACATCCACGTCCCGCCATCTAGCGGATCTTTCATTCGCGAAAACCCTCATTGTAACAAAGGCAGGATTCACATTGACCGGCGGGAATCGGCGCGAGCGCAGCGTCCGTTCGGCCAAAAATGCCGTGGAATGCGCGCGTCTGTGCACGTATTCGCTGGAATACGCTCGGAGCCGACGCATGCTCGCGCATCCGTCCGGATTGAAATGTCAGTTAATCAGTTGTAAGCAATTACGACTCTAAGAACTGATATGATTGCCATATGTTTGTCTCGAAGCGCTGGTAGAGCCCAAAAGATAAGGAGACATGTAAAGTGCCCCATAAGGGCTACTTTTTCTTTTTTTAATATTTACTATATTTTGACGTTCATAAGTGCCACTTGTGGTCTAATAGTCCAGTCAATAAAGCATTATAGATGGAAATCCGTGGAACACAATTTTTGACTTCGGGACTTTATTGAGACTAGTTAGGAGGTGAACATAGCAAAAGTCCCTGCCCTTAGCCCTTGAGCCGGCGGAGAGAGGGGGGTTTAAAGGTACCAATTTTCGGTTTTTCGCTTAATCCTCGGAAACTATGCGTCCTAGTGACATGACTACTATGAACCAAAAAAAGCTTATTAAATTTGCTACAGGTGCGATAGTCAAGTTTTTTTATATCTTGTATAGTTTTCGCGGCATCTGCTCTAGAAGGCCTGTAATATTGGAAATTTTATTTTTGTCTTACATGTTTCCATCAGGAGAAAATCGACTAAATCAACATTGAGCTAATATTCTAGACATGCGGGAGCATGTTAAGCCTAGTTCCAGTGAGGGGACTGCACCGTGCGTATATTTAGACGAACCAATTGGAGCCACTTTTGACTCCTCATCACTCATAAAGTACTGTGCATTAACACTTCAAATTTGGCTCATGTGTTGAGACTTGCAAGATAAGCATCAGCTTCAAATTTCATAAATATACCTCAAACGGTTCTTTAGGTATTGGCGTCTAAAAATCTACATGGCTGACCTATAAGACCAAATTCTAACCACTTCCAGATGACCTTGAAGGTTCAAATTTGGCATCCAGATAGGTAGTTGTGTAAATACAAAGGAACAAATAAAAAACCAGTAAATTTTAACATTTCACAGGTAATAGATAAATTTTAGTGTCCTAAATGTCGATTTTTGAACGTCAATACCTAAATAACCGCTTGAGGTATATTTATGAAATTTGAAGCTGATGTTTATCTTGCAAGTCTCAACACATGAGCCAAATTTGAAGTGTTAATGCACAGTGCTTTGTGAGTGATGAGGAGTCAAAAGTGGCTCCAATTAGTTCGTCTAAATATACGCACGACGCAGTCCCCTCCCTGGAACTAGGCTTAACATGCTCCCGCATGTCTATAATGTTCGCTTAATGTTGATGTAGTCGATTTTCTCCTGATGGGAACATGTAAGACAAAATTAAAATTTCTAATATTACAGACCTTCTAGAGCAGATGCCGCGAAAACTATACAAGACTAGCTGACCCGGCGAACTTTGTTCCGCCTTAATGGCAATAAATAATGGGATAAAAAGTATCCTATGTCCTTCTCCTGGCTCTAAACTACCTCCCTAACAATTTTCAGCTAAATCAGTTCAGCCGTTCTTGAGTTATAAGCGAAGTAACTAACACGACTTTCTTTTATATATATAGATATAGAAAAACTTGACTGTCTCACCTGTAGCAAATTGAATTAGCTTTTTTTGATTCATAGTAGCCATGTCACTAAGACGCATAGTTTCCGAGGATTAAGCGAAAAACCGAAAAGTGGCACCTTTAAGCCCCCCTCTCCCCGCCGGCTTAAGGGCTAAGGGCGGGGACTTTTACTATGTTCACCTCCTAACTAGTCTAAATAAAGTCCCGAGGTCAGAAATTGTGTTCCAGGGATTTCTCTCTACACCGTCGTTAAAGCATTCATTGACTGGACTATAAACTGAATAAATATTTTTGATTTTGATAATAAAATACTATTTTCTTTACGGCTTCTTTACTATTTTCTAAGTTCACCTCAAGTGTCTAACAAGGTTGTGTCATTTCTTCCGCAGGGGTTAAACGGCGTGGAGAACATCTACACGCAGCACACGCCGGTGCTCAAGGATACTCTTGAAGACCTCATCAAGGGCAAGCTGCGAGAGAACCTCTACCCCACGCTTGGAGGTACATACAATTTTGATGTATATTGTCAGAGACAGATGTTGCATTTTTGACTGGTGGAGAGTGGGAGAAGGATAGGCTTGGTAACCAATATCTGGCTGACCCTGCGATTCTATTTTCCACATTCTCCATGTAGTCAACGTCAAATTTTAATAGGCGACACGGAAAGTGGCCTTATTCCAATAGTAACAAACACGTATTGCGAATTTTTTGCCTACTTTGTGTCACTGTGGTGTCACCAACTATTTGACGCTGACCATACCGTCCAATCAGTTTGTAATCTATGATACTGACGATTGAATTCTACCAAAATTACTGGACTCAGATTTGTAATTTATGTTTCTACATAATATGTCTATATTATAGTTTATCACCATCATAACAGCAACCGCCGCGGGCACCAATGCGAGTGTTTTAGCGAAGACTAAAGGTAGCATTCGGATCAAGACGACCGCGACGCGAGACCGCGACCGGCGACCGCGACCCACTGCTTTATATGAATTAATAGAAAGTGCTGACGGATGCAAGCAACCGAGTCGCGCGACGTGTGGGCGTGGCCTGCCGGCTTCTTGCGTCGCGCGACTCGGTCGCTCACAAGGCAGTGCCGTGACGCGACAGATGCAAAATGGCCCTGTTTTCTTCGCACGAAGACGAAATTTTAATAGAATTAGTAAGTTTCGTATGGGTCGCACGACTCGTGTCGCGAAGATTCGTAAGTAGCTGTCGCCCTGCGACCTGCGACCGGTTGCCTGTCGCGGTCTAGGGTCGTGGTCTCTCGTCGCGGTCGTCTTGATCCGAATGCTACCTTTATACTGAAACTAACTTACCCATGCAAATACTTGCCTTAAAATAAATCTATTTTATCCAGGCGACGACTCCGGCTACGGGCGGCGCCCTCAAGACATTATAGTCTTCATGGTGGGCGGGACCACCTACGAGGAGGCGCTCTCAGTCCACCAGGTCAACCAGGCCTACCCTGGCGTCAGGGTCGTGCTGGGAGGCACCACCATACACAACTCGACGAGCTTCTTCGAGGAGGTCCAGGCTGCGATGCAAGGTGTCCATAGAACGCACACCAGGCATATTAAGAATGTTTAAGTGTATGTAGTTAGAAATCGTGAATGTATTGGACTATGGAAAGTACAGTCGGGATATTACGAGAGGCAACGTATCGTATTGTGGTACAGTCAGCGTTGAAGAGATCGTGACATTCGTGACGCCAATTGTGGCTAAAAACCTTATTCCAATGTAATAAAGACGTGTTGCGAACTTTTTGACTTTTTACTTTGGGGCTAGATGGCGCTGTGTGAAATTGTCCAAAGATATTTATTTATTTGTTTTTGGCTACTTTGGGTGTCACGAACTCTTTGAAGCCGACTGTAATATAAATATATCTTTATTTTCTCATCACACAATCAGCCGGGCTAGGATGTGCGCCGTGATAAAATCTTATTGATGAATTTAGACGACAAATGTATAGACTTATCGCGTAAACTCGATAAAATTGTGCGATTAAAGCTTATCGCGGCACACATCCTAGGCCTAGGTGTATTCCTGTTTTGTGCGACTGATTTATATGCTAGTTAATATCCAGTTAAGGAATCATACTAATTGTTGTTTAATTTTATTACCACGACAGTATCGACTTATTTTTGTTTCAAGTTCCAATTTGTCAAATATTACACCACAAAGATTTTGAGTGTTGAAAAAGTATGTTAAGTTGCATTCCATTCGTGTAAATGTTCATTGTTACATTGAATATTGTGTATTATTATTTTGCCAGATGTGTTTGAGTGATGAGTGTACAGTGTGATTAATTTATTTGTTAATATTAAGTTAAAGTTATTTATGTATTATATTATGGAAATATAAATTATGATTATTCAAGAAATTAATTTATTTTTCATTTTCTATCATCATGGTTTTAATTTGTTATGTCAATCGATTTTGTGTAACATTTACATAAAAATATGGGTTGGAGTATTCAGAGTGAATTTTTCAAGAGTGGTTGCCTGAATTCGACACGTAAAATACTGTAAAAGGTCTTTGGAGCCGATTTAGATTAATTTACAAATAAATAATTGAAAAATTCACCTGTATACAGGTAAATAAAAAATAAAACACTCGACTGTTGTGTTCAAAACACATTTTTTATCATTTTTTATTGAAAAATATCCGCCGGCACAGGTGTGCGTGCCGCCAACAATACAGTAAAACAAAATGCCGTTCGTTTGGCACAAACCGGCGCGTGCGCCGCCAAACTGATTGCCCTCAAGCTGATGCGGCAAGCGTTATCTCCAATTTACAAGAATTAGGCTTCACATGTTCTCTATAAAAACCATTTACATTACAGTTATACCACATTCCGCATACAAATCCTTCAGTCTTTGCTCATACCGGGCGCGGGGGCGTGTGGGCACCGCGGCCCGCGCCCGGTTCACAGTTACTGTTGGTAACAACTACCCGCGAGGGTCAACACACATAAGGCATTTAGAGAATCATTATTCTAACCGTATAGAATATTCTTTACATTGCCCGATGACAATAAATTAAAGTGCCCATATAGGTACGGATGAATCAAGCTGCTCGAATTTGTTAGACCTATCTACGACACGCATCGCGTCTCCACGCAGCTCGGACGCGGTAGAAAGATTTCGAAACAATACAAAGGTTCGTGTAAAATTTCAAGGCACAAAGTTTTCTTCGCCGCTCGCGCGCGAAGCTTTGCTTTGGACATTTCAATCGATTTGAATTTGTTGAGCTTCCGTGCCCGTTGAAAGAATCGTTTCACATTTTTGGTACGTCGTCTATGCTACAAATGCGATGTGCGTAAGCAGGGATATATACAAGATACATATAGTACACAGTGGGGGCGTTGCTCAGGCAACCCCTGTGGTGGGTCGATACATACCGAATCACCGTCAACACGGTGGTTTCTTATAAAAAAGTTTATCCACAACCGTATTACAAACCGGTCAAAGGAACTCTCATTCGAAACACTTACAATACTCCTCATACGTAAATTACCATTTAAGAAAATGATACAAAAAGAGGCCATAGAAGCTATCACCTCGGAACAGCGTCACTAGGTTTGTGACATCTTTAAATTATATCGATATATAATATTTCATCTTTTACATATATGGCGCTCAACAAGGAACATTGCGCTCATAAAATTTTACTCTTTACTTTCTACATAGCAACAAACACAAACGCAGTGAACGCACACGCGGTAATAAAATTTAAAAACAAAAGAGAAATAAAACAATAATAATAATAATATAGTCGGAGCGGCGGAACGCGGCCGTCGCGTCGCTCCTCAAGGCCCTTCCCATTTTTTTGTGATTTTTTAGAATGTTAACGTTTTCAAATAGAAAATCTTTATACATCACAAATGATACACGAATAGAAGCTTGGGAAAGGACACCATTTTCCCCTCAATATATAAATCGTATTTACATTATATACATCTATCCTTACATTTCCATGGACTTAGTTAGCAAAGATATAAATAATCACGGTATGTCGTCACATACACTAATTTTATACGAACGTTTCGATCAGTATTTTTTTATTATTTTGTAAATATGTCTATGGTATATTCTAGTAGTTTATCCTAAACAATCTTGTTTCTGCAGTAAATATACTATTGGGTTGTGTTTAATAGTAATATAATAATTAACGTTCGTATTCAGTTTGATGTTATAACTATTCATAAAATTATTCAAAGCATCGATATCGATAACTATTGCCGGGGCGGCACTAGCCTTACTCTAGCTAAAATGCAGAACCGGTCGGCAGTGCGGCGTACTGCCGAATGAGCAATGTCGGGCGTCGCGCGTAGTCTTGTGGTCGGATCCAGAGAGAACGGAGATAGGAAAAGTGACCATAGATTTACGGCATCTCTCATGGATTCGCCACGGGATTGTCGACTTTGTCCCGGACTAAAACGTCGACTAATCGACTGGTATACAAGAAGGGCGGGTCCAATGAACATGGGTGGGTTAGGAATTGGTACATTTGATTGACGAAGTATAGTTTCGTTGAGTTTGTCAATTTGCACCGGTAACATACAGGGTGCAATAAAATCGCATGCATTTCTTTATAGGTTTCAACATTCTGTTCTTAACGCCGGCAAAGGGTTAGAGTAGGTAGTTTAAATTGCTTTTTATATCTGCGATGGAATGAGAGTGAATTTTCTAACGAGCACAGTATTATCAATAACCCTGTTTAAAGAAATGCATACAATTTTGATAAACCCTGTAAACGTGTGTACAAGAAAATAGAGCGCCTTAAAACCACGTAACCAGATACAATTTTTGGGTGAGATATTGGAATTAGGTGAAAATATGATTAGTCTTTTATGTTCTTGAGTTGAGAGGATCTAAAACAAGAGTCCTAACATTACTGTGACCGATTTGAATCTATTGAAATCACTGTTCTAAGAAACTTCATTATCATTTGGGTTTAAGATGTGGACCTTGAGGACAAGTGAGTTAAGTTTATCATGTGATTCTATCAAGATAAGTGGCGTTTCTTCTGATGACGTAGTTTCTCGAGCTACTTTTTCTCGTACACCCTGTATAATAGGAATGTAGGACCCGCCCCGTGGTCACTGTCCACGTTTGGCGCGACCCAGGGAGCACCGCGCGGAGGTCATGGACTGAGCCCCCCTTGATCCACACGTTGGGGCATAGTCAAATAACAATAGTATAACACCTTCGTGGTAGCGAATAGCTTGAATAATAAAGAATAATGTAGTCTACTTATACGGAAAGTGACACAAAATTGGGCTGTATTTATGCAGAAAAAGACAGGTATTTGACCACAATCCCACCTGATAATATAAGTGAGTTGTCAACAATCGTAAGAAAATGCAGTCTAGTTTTACAGTAAATGTGACATGAAACTGTACTGATATTTTTTTACGCAGAATAAGGCAGATATTTGACCAAAATCTATGTTCACACATGATGTTAAGTGAGATGCAGTCTAGGGTACAAACGTGCACAGAAAATGCCTGTTCACTCTCGCCTTGAAGAGGCCCTGATAATGTATAGCACTGCAGTAAATAATGGTGACCAATGACCATACTCGATGGTGTGTCTATGGATGGTGCAGAGATGTTATCTGTGCACTGCACCTGTAACCAGCCTAAGTAGTAGGTACTCTTTTGTTCCTCATGGAACAGATTTATTCCAAGTCTAGGTTGAAAATGTTATACTATTATTATTTCGCTATGGTTATGGTGATGGTTGGACGTACCCGATTGAATTTGAACATATTGATGTATTATGTGTGATGTCTATGTACAGTTAACGCACACGATTTACCATTCAATCGTTGGACTTTCCAAAAATAAGTGTAATTACAAAAAATTGTTATCTAGAATAATAGCTTTTAATGTAGGACATCTTGAGTCCTACCTAAATCTAAATTTAATGATAATTTTAATATGACTAATATGAGAAAAGATAACACGGGTACGTCCAAAAAGTCGCTTTTCGAGCGTAGACGTGTGATATAGTAAATATATGACATACTTAGTGTTACTTTAGTTTTATCGAAACTTACTCTACGTTTCCGCGCTTATTTATTTATATTTTATATCATAAACCTACCTAAGGAGGCGAAACGAAGGGGAAATGTTGTGCAGAAACTAAGAAAACAATAACTATTTAGAATTTGAAGCAGAAATCGAACGTTCTATTGAACTGCGACGTAGAAAGACAGATTTTTGTAAAAATTAACTGTTTTGCCAAAGATTTAATATTTTACACGAGTATTCCCCACTTGCTGAGCCCAAATCTGTAATTAGTGGTTAGGTTCAGTTACCATTAAGGTCACTATATGGTATTTACATTTAATTTTGTGTGTCCCGTTTTCAAATCATTTCGAGTCGACATTAGTGTGTTATTTGTTCACCTCGAGTAATCTGGACCATTTATCAAGAGTTAATATTTATGTACCTTCATAAATAAATTGTATCAAATGGAAATAATTTCCCACTTGACTAAATTATAATCAGTTATTGCAAATAAAAATTGAAGTTTCAAGCATCGACTCAATCTAGTGATTCAAAATATCGAATTTTGAATCAATCAATACAATTGATATTAAACCAACCACAAGTCTTATAATTTTTGCTTGTGTGAAAAACTGGACTCAACAGTTTTTAGCTTTGTTTCAAAGT